GTCTCAGTCAGTTTTATTGCACATAGCCAAAGGCTGCCGCAATGTACACAGAATTATTTGACAATTAAAAGAAAATATACTGAATTGGTAAAAAAAGACTTAAAACATTTATATTATTAAAACATTACATACTCTAAACAAAGCTATAAAAGTACCCCAATGTACAAATAAAAACATTAAACGATAAAATTCATAAGCTAAAATCATCACATGGTCACTAATGTTAAAAACAATATCAATTAATACAGTGTGCAATTTATACTCAGAGTTTGGTGACAAAGATAGAGCATAGCCTGAGGTAGATAGATAGGATCAAATAAATTCATCTCCTTTACAGTTAATGGCTACCTTGGCTATATAATTTGCTCTAATTTTCCTAGCAGCAGTTGCAAAAGTGCGACCCGCCAGGTCACATACTTATCTGTGTCTGCAAGGAGATATAACATCATATCAAGGGGGTTCTGGCCAGGGGACCCTGTCATTATAGGTACCAAAAATCTTTTTCTTGCATCATTATATAACGGACAGTGCAAGATATAATGCATAAGGTCCTCTACTTCAGAACATCCCCTAATGCAAACACGTTCGTTTTTGGTATGCCTCTATGTCTCCCATCTCTATAAGCAGAGCTTATTGTATTTAGTCGTAGCTCTGTAAAAGCTTTTCGAAGCTGTGCAAAAGTCAATTCATTAAAATAAGATATGTGTTCATTGACCTCTCTAAGTTTAAAATACAATGGGGCGCATGTAGATGTGCACATAGAGTTTAAATCGTTTTTAGTTGCCACTGCCCTTATGGTTCGTTTAAAAATATTTTTCTGTGAATATAAGGGGAGTTCTTTAATCTCAGTCACTGAGAGGTCATATTTGCCCATCAGTTGGGCAGCATGATGTACCCAGTTTTTAAAGGGTAATCCATTTGAGAGCTCAATCAGGCATTTTTTTGGTAGCCTAGTGTTGTCCATCTGTTGAACTCTAAACCAGTAACAGAGAATTCTTTTATCTATTTGGCTCTCTATGCTCAACATGCGAGTTTCCAACCTGACCATGGCAGATTGCACGTCTTTGGGTAAACCTAAAAGAACTCTTAAAAATAATTCTGTGGGGGTTCCAGACCGGAGACCTTTGAGGTACCCCAAACCTCTGCACCATATAAAATCTGGGCCATTGTTTTTGCTTTATACACAGATAGAGCTGGGTTGACCAGATTTCCACCTTTACATGCAGCGAATTTCAGAATGGCTTTTGCTGATTTAAAGGCTTGCAATTTAATATTGGATAGCTGTGTATTCCAAGATGCCGTTTCTGAATAAATCAATCCCAGATATTTGAACGTATTTACTTGGTTTATGATGTGTTCATCCAGGTGCCAAACATGCTTTTTAGAACGCTTCCCAAATACAATGACCTGCGTCTTATCATAGTTTATAGATAAAGCATTCCTCATGCAATATGAACTTAATTTTGCAAGCAGCCGTCTCAGGCCCACCTGGGTTCTAGATACAAGTACTAGGTCATCAGCATACATTAAAACTGAGAGTTTTTGGTCGAGAATTGTGACAGGGGCAAACTGTAGGCCCTCCAGTTCTTTAACCATGTCATTAATATAAAAATTGAACAGGAAAGGTGCCAAAATGCATCCCTGTTTGACTCCAGTAGTGGTCTTAATTCTAGTGGTGAGATGGCCAGCCAGATCCACCTTTACTTGTATTGATGTGTCAGTATATAATGTTTTGATGAGAAATAATAGACGGAGGTCTATATTTGTCTTTTCCAATTTTTGCCACAATGCGTGTCTTGGGACCGTATCAAAAGCTGACTTTAGATCGATAAAAGCAACATATAATTTTTGCTTCAAATTATGGATGTATTTACATAGCAGAAAGTTCAGCACAAAGCACTGGTCCAATGTGGATTTCCCTCTTTGGAAACCTGCCTGGACTTCAGATATCACCTTATTTGTATCTGCCCATTCTTCTAGTCTCCCAAGAAGGAGCCTGGCATATAGTTTGGAGGCTACATCTAACAAACTAATGGGTCTATAATTAGCAGGGTTTTTCTTATCGCCCTTTTTATATATTGGGGCAATTATACTCAACTTCCACCCTTCAGGTATATGACCTGAGCTGTTAATGTATGAAAACAATTTTGCAAAAATGGGTGACCAGAAATCAGGTCTTATCTTATAGATCTCCATTGGGATCATGTCTTCTCCTGGAGCTTTATTAGCTAGTTGGCTTGCGATTAGCCTCTTAATCTGATTGGGCGTGACGTCTGGCCATTCTGGCAGTTCTGATAACTGAGTATAGTAAACTTGTGGGGGTAGGTCAGGACAGGGGCGATATATTTCTGTAAAATATGTCACCCAATCCTTTCCTTGGACAGATGCTTCTAATGAGTAGCCCAGCCCATTGGTGCCTTGGGCAACCAGATGCCAAAATTTCCGTGAGTCCTTCTGAAGTGCTGCATCTCCCAATTCTTTCCACTGTTGTTCATAATATATTTGTTTCTTGCTTTTAAGTAATAATTTATAGTTGTTTCGTAACTGGGCTACCTCAGCTTGTAGGGCAAGATTGTGCTTATCCTGTTTTAACTTCAATTTTCTAAGTACCCTAGCTAGGCATTTTTGCTATTCTGACATTCCTTATCAAACCAAGTCTGTCTCTTAAACTTTTTGTTTTTATCACACTAGCTGTGGTCATCAGTGGGCGCATTCGGTTGATTATGTTCTCATAAAGTCCAATTACGTTTCCTGTTTCTAACAACATTTCCCCTTTAATAGAGCAAATTCATGGGAATCCAGGATCTGAATCATTTTTCTTGGACCTGTGCATTCCATTTTAACCTTCTATTTCCAAGTATCAGATATTCTGTTTCATCCAATAATTTAGGAAAGGCAGGAGAAAAGAATAATGTCAGAGATAACTCAAGTGGAAAGTGGTCACTTTCAGCTCTGGGAATTATCCTGAAGGTATCTCGGTTAACTGGCACATTATTAGATGTTAGGATATAATCTATGGTGCTAGTAAATCCTCTGGGGGAGATAAAAGTAAAATAACCCTCTTGATCCCCTTGACCGTGCCCATTGCATAACAAAAGGTTATGCTTTATTATAAGTTCACAAAGATGTTTCCCAGCGCGATTAGGGATGGTGTCCATTGCTGCCCTCTGACAGATTTCAGGTTCGTCCTCCAAGTTTAGACCAGATAATATTGTATTTTGTGGGGAAACAAGGCCGATCCGGGCATTGAAGTCACCTCCCAAGATAAACCGAGGGTTAGGTGACAGAGAGTCTATACTTTCGAGTAGTTGGTCAAGTTTATCCCAATATGATCTCAGTTCCCCACAAGACTTTACTGGAGGTATATACACGCATATGCAATAAGTATTTCTCAGGAGACTATCAGAAAGGGACAACACTAAAAATTAGGGGTGGTCAACGAGGGACACTGTTGAATTGATACATTAAGAGAGGTTGACACCAGCACCGCCAGCCCCCCACTAGGCCTTCCATACTTTACAGTTTTAAGAGCTGGTTGAGTGTAACTTGTAAAACCCTGTAATTCAACCATAGTGCCCTCTTTTGCCCAGGTTTCTTGAAGAAAGATGATATCATGTGTTTGTAGATAAGAACAGAAATCACTGTCTTGGATCTTGTTCGTCCACCCTGTTACATTCCATGAGAGAAGTTTAATTGTTTTACAATGATTTACTCTTAGTCAATTGTTGGCCGATGTGCTCTCGGAGTTTACCAGTTTTTGAGGCAACAGGTTATTGCTAATGCTAGTGGAATAATCCAGATGTTCGATTATTTCAGTCGTCGTACATAAAGTGCTCACATTTGTAATCACTGGGCCTTTTCTTTGCAAATTGTTTGCCAATGGGGATTTCTTGGGTGTATTTCCTGACTCCTCCTCTTCTAAATATCTCATCTTTGTCCAATACTCCGGTGGTTCTAGAGTTATCATTCTGTTGTGGCCATTGGATCTATTATCAATCTCTGCCTCCGGTTCTTTAATCTCTTTCAATGTCTGGCTCATAAGATCAAGCCTCTTGATAACTGTTTGTTGCTCTTCCTGAGGGAGATTCCTAAAGGAGCTGAGAAAATCCTCTTCCAAAGGATTTACAGAGTGCTCAGATTCCTGAAGATGATTGTCTAGAGGAATCGGCTGTTCCTTTTGACTCACCTGGTTATTTTGATGTTGGGCATGATCCTGCGGATTCAACTCAGGCATGTCTGTTTCCTCCCCACCTGCCAAGTTTTTTTGTGATGTTATTACTTCCATTGGGGGTCCAGGCTTTGGTTTTGTGAGCCCCTCTGAAGCAGCAGTCCTCATCTTACATAAGGGTGCAACAATAGAATTGCGAAATACCCGGGTTGGAAAAACTCCTCTGCTTGACAATCTGAATTTCAGCTTGTGAATCAGTGAGGGCAGTCTAGTAGAGGAAAAAGTTAACATAATTTTTGGCTTTGATTTGTGGTATTCAAGAGTTCAGTCTTAACGAGGTCGATCTCTGTAAGTCCCATGCCAAGTAAGTCTGATAAATGTCGTTTGGAACGCTGGGCACCTTTCCAGCTAGGAGTTTGATCTGGCCTTCCACAAATTGTCATGCAGATCTTTTTTGGTTGGAAAATTAAATAAGAAGAGTTTGTTTTAAGAGCCTCTGCACGTTCTATGTTGAGCTTAGGGGTCTGCTCTTGTTGTCGCCAATTTCCTTTGGTACGATGGTGGTCTGTTGATGCCTGCTTGTTATTAACTGATAAACTGTGGACCTCTTTGGATAACTGGGTTATTTGAGAGGCAATACCTCTAATTTGCTGGAAGATATGCTCAACCGTTCTTGCAATTAGAGTTAATTGGGTGCTCTCCCTACTTGTTATTCCTTCCTCTCTGAGGAGCACAGGATCAGCTTGCCCCATTGCTGGATCCAGTTCCACGCTCTCACCTTGAATACTCTCCCCACACTCACAATCATCTTCAAGAGGAGAAAACCGGTTTTTTGTTGGAACTGTAAAAGCAGATTTGTTAAAAAGTCCTCTATTTTAGATTGTTTGGGAACCGGTGAGAGAGCTACATCCTCTGGGTCCCTGTGGCGTTTACTAGCAGGCATAGCGTCACCGTGGGGAGTAAACAAGGAGAGGTTTCCCCAACCAAAAAAGAGAGAAAAGAATAGAAAGTGCTCAGTTTGTTCAGTTTGTTCAATTTAAGAGCTTCTCTGTGTGGAGGCTGCCAGGAGTTTCAGGAACAAGGTATAGAAGGGAGTTGGCGGTTAATAGCTAGCAGCTGGCGGCCTGCCCAGGATGCTTCACAGAACTTGCCCAGGATGTCTCCCACAGCATTGACAAGAAGGTGCTGCCAGAATCTCGGTAAGTTAAAAAGTAGAGAAGTAAAAAAAGGAAAAACTACTTCCCTGGGTGGCAGTCAACGCCAACTACAGTCCTGTTATCAGCGGGAGTCCAAGATGGCGACGGCTTGGCAGGCAGGCTTCGGAGTAGTAGTATCTCCTGTATTAGTAGTAGTAGTAGTAGTAGTAGTATCTCCTGGGTCATCTTAATCTCCGGGGTCATTTTCACTGTGCTTTGCTGGACATTTCCCCAACTCCACAATACCCATTTTGGGGGGTGTAGTGACCAGAAGTATATGCCCTGTTCCCAACGCAGTCACCCCAAAGATTTGTATAACAGCATTATGAAAGCCGCAGTTTTACTTGCAATTCCTAATAATCCCTAGCAGGGAATACGCCTTTTTCACAATTTCCTTTTCCTTCGCAATGGAGCAAACATTATGTCTCTCCCAGCTTTTGGTTCTCATAAGCGGTATCGGTGAAGGATGTGACAAACGGCATTTTAAAGACAGCGTGATAATGGTGATTTATATTAGCAAAGATAAGATATTCAGATATTCAGTGCAGCAAAAAGGTGTGCAGGGGTGTGCGAGAGATTCTTTGTATTATCTTATGCAAATAGGGGCTGCATCCTGCACTCATCCCACAGATGATGGGGTCGTCAGTGCACAGATATGTGCCTGTGGGACATTGGTACATCTTATTTATTTTCAAAACAATATCAGATAGGCTAAAGAGGTCCTTCCTAATTAACTGGGCAGCAGAATTTTTTTGGGGTGGGAAGATGGTATTAATGGAAGTGCTGAGGAAAAACCCCAGCAGCTATTGATGGTAAGGTATTGCAGAAGGTTGGACTAGACCAGGGTCAGCAACCTTTTTCAGCAGTGGGCTGGTCCACTGTCCTTCAGACCATGTGGTGGGCCGGACTACATTTTTTGGGGGGGGGGGGAATGAACGAATTCCTGTGCCCCACAAATAACCCAGAGATGCATTTTAAATAAAAGGACACATTCTACTCTTGTAAAAACACGCTGATTCCCGGACCGTCCGCGGGCCAGATTTAGAAGGTGATTGGGCCACATCCGGCCCACGGGCCTTAGGTTGCCTACCCCTGGACTAGACAATCCTTGGCAGGCCACAGGTTCTCCACCCCTGGGATGCATTAATGTATGAATATGACAAACCCATTCACAAAGTCATATACAGTGGTACCTCGGGTTACATATGCTTCAGGTTACATATGCTTCAGGTTACAGACTCTGCTAACCCAGAAATAGTGCTTCAGCTTAAGAACTTTGCTTCAGGATGAGAACAGAAATCGTGTGGTGGCAGCAGGAGGCCCCATTAGCTAAAGTGGTGCTTCAGGTTAAGAACAGTTTCAGGTTAAGAACCGACCTCCGGAACGAATTAAGTACCTAACCTGAGGTACCACTGTAATGAGGCAGAGAGCCAGGGTAAATGTATTAGGCTGCAGGCTCAACCGCAGCTCCAATTCCAGTTTGGTTTTCAACCGAGGAGCTTTCACGTCAAAATAACAGCTGCTTGCAGAGCTGCCCTCTCTTCCTCAAAAGAAGCCCATGTTTGTTTACTTTGCAATTAAAGTATTTCAGAATTGGTTTAGCCTTGTGTTTGACTTTCCATGGACTGCAGTAAAATGTGTGTGCATGTGTTTGTACGTGTGTGTGCGTGCGCACACATTTGCATTCCGTACTTTCCCGCAAGACACCATTACAATACATTGGTTTGTACCAAATGAAAAATGTAAAAATCTTGCTGATGTGCTTGGTATCACTAAGGGTCATTCCGGATGGTACTCTGTGCCCCTTTCAAACCTGCAACAGCTACAGCTAAGTGGTGGAGAGCAATAAACCAAAGGAGACTGGGCTGCAGGGTTGTCTCAGAGAGAAAACTGGAAACCTGAACGTGAGAAGCTCCACACACAGAGAGAGACAGAGAGAGGTTTAGTTCTGTGCTGCTCTGCACTGGACTTTGGGGGAGCAAGATCTGTTGGGGGGATAATGCTGTTAGTCTCCGCCTCCCATGCTCATATAGAAATAGAACCATATGTTCCAAAGACTCCATAGTCTCACTTAGCTTCATTCCAAAGAAACAGAACCCTGGCTAAGCGCGGGAACCTTTGGAGAGAGACTCTGATCACTCGGGGGTCAGGGTGGCATGTAACAACAGCAGCACTAAGGGATATTGCTTTACCAAAACATGAATGTAAGGAGAAATTGGAACAAAAAGGATTGCGAATTTTCAGTAAACATATGGATGTGTTTCTCTTTTTCTTTTGCATTTTTTAAATTTTCTTTTTTCTTTTGACAAGGTAATAATCATAAATAAAGAAGAATTAAAATGTGCACCCCACCACTGAGACCGTTCCATTGTAACTATCCAACCTTCCAATATTTCAACACCTCTTGCAATGTTTTGACCCCTTTCCGTTTTAACAGTACGAATTCTACAAACACTTTCCATATCTCCTCATAATCATTTCTCCTGCACATTGCCCGTCTTACCTTAATGGCAGATGTTAATTTATCATTAATAGCTATATCCCACACCTCTTTATACCAGGCTTCCATTTTATACTCTCCTTGCCCCTTCTACTTCCTAGCTATCATAATTCGTGCAGCTGTCCATTAATTTGTGAGCAAGTGGATGTGTTTTAATTTGTTGGAAGCTACCCAGAGTGGCTTGGGCAACCCAGTCAGATGGGTGACATATTTATTATTATTATTATTATTATTATTATTATTATTACTACCACTACTACATATAGCTGACAAATGAAGAACCAGAAGTTCTCTTTTCCTTTTCCTTTATTTCTCTTTCTCTTTCTTTTTTTTCTTTTCTCATCATCTGTTTTCCCCTTTTCTCTTTCTGGTGTGTGTTTTTGTTTAGATTAGCTTTTTTGTCTTGATAAAAATATATCTGACATTAATCTCTCTTCCAAATTTTAATAAAATCTTTTTTAAAAAAAATTATATGGATGTGGGGGGAAATCAGTAACTGAGAGAAACCCAAACCGACAAATTTCCCCATCCCTACCAGCAGTGTGGGGGAGGGGGGTGCAAGGATCCTGCTCCAACTCCTGTCAGCCCTAGATGATGGGAGTTGTAGTCCCGTAGAATCTGGAGGACCACTGCTTCCCCATCCCTGGACTAGAGAAGATCCTGCTTGGTTTTGCAAGGAGAGCTGCCTATAAACCTGTTCTGTTATTCACACTGGTACAGAGTTTGAATCCGTAGTTAACTCGAGAAAAGAGCGATGGCAAGTTAAAAACAAGAAGAAAACAAAACTGATTCTTGATTTAATAATTCCTTTCATCCTTTTATTATACTTCACAGTACAAAGGGCTTTATTTTTTTGACAACACTGGCTCAGAATTAGCTTAATTAATCACACCCTTGATTCCCCATTCCTCTTCTGATCACAGAAGCCGCAAGAAAACGCTAGTTAGCATTATTTACCACCACCTACAGTTTATAAACAGGGGAGCACCTTGTACTTTCAGGACTTAAGTCATGCTAGGTGCTGTACACAGGTAAGTACAAAAGGCCTATCTGGCATCACAAACTGACCGCAGGGCAGATAAAACCCACTGTTGAGGTCCTGGTTGCTTTAATTCAGTTAACATTGTATGCAAAACTCAGCAGTAGAACACATGCTTGGCATGCAGAAGGTTCCAGGCTCAGACATCGGCATTTCTAGGCATGGTAGGAATAGACCCTTGTTAGAAACGCTGGGTAGACCACACTGAGCTACATTGGCCAATGGTCATAACTGGTTTTTAAGGCAGCTTAAAGAGATTTTTGACAGTGGGCTCAGGAGGTGGCAGGCTCTTCTTTGGACGTGTTCAAGCACAGAAGCATAGGGACCTGCCTTCTGCTGAGTCAAACCAGTATTGTCTACACTGACTGGCAGAGGCTTTCCAAGGAACCTGGGACCACCTGCGTTCCAAGCTACCCCAGAGATTGAATGGGCATCTGTCAAGGATGCTGCTGTGGTATCCTACAAAACAGATCCTCCATCGAGCAGGGGGGGGAAGCAAATGACCCCCAAAGGTCCTTCCAACTCCATGTTTCTATGGATGGAAGATCCTGTAAGTGAAACTTATAAGTGAACAGTGTTCTGTCTGACCTGTTTTGTCCACACTGACAGGAAGCAGCTCGCTGCAATCTCAGGCATCCCAACATCATTCGTACTCGACATCTTTTTAAACTGGGGTTGGATCTGGGCCCTTAGCTCCTCTCTGGGCTGGGCCTGTTGCATTCATCCTGGACTTCTTTTTCTTTTCTTTTTTGGCAGGACAAAAGGGATTTCATTTCAGTTTTTAAAAAGTTCACCATAGGAACAAGTCTCTTTATTTTTGACTGGCAGAATCCGAGACCAGGGAGAAGAGTTGGTGGAAGAAGATTGGAAGAAATTTAAAGACTATCTACAGAAATATTGCAAAGTTAATGAATGTTAGAATGATATTAGAATGAAGTTAGGTGGTTTAAGCAGTAATGCTATAAAGGTGTATGTAAAAATAGATTGATAACAGGTGAAAATTTAAAGTTATAGTATATTAAGTTAAAGAATTAAGAGAAAATAAAGAGGGAAAGAAATTGCTGAATTAACTAATTGAATTGGAATACAAAAAAGGGAGATATGAGGAGGTCAGGGAAACAAGGATATGAATGTAAGGCATGGAAAGATTGATCTATTTTTTAAAGTGTTTTTTATTCTTTTATTCTGTATTTTGTATTTTGTGTTTTTCTTGTATTTTTACTTCTGTCTTTTGTTTTTGCTTTTCTTGTTTTTATGTAATTCTTTTTTTCTGAAATTTTAATAAATATCATTTTTTTAAAAAAAAAGTCTCTTTATTTTTAAGAAAAAGGAAGATGTCCCCAAAACGGTTGAAAACTAAGCAAATACGACTATGAGCTAAAAGCTGGCTTAGGGAGAGAGAGATGGGCCAAAGGAACAGGTGTATACAACACAGGGAAATATAGATTTTAAAAATACGCACTCTAATGCAGCTTCCGTGCACTTATTCCTAGCACGATAAAACAACTGGAAGGTGGTAGCTTTGCCTTCACTGGAAGTTTTTATACAGCCATCTGTCTGCGATTTCTTAAGCTGTGATTCTCGCACTGTAGAGGGTTGGACTAGATGAACGCTGGAGTCCCTTCAAACCCTACAATTCTATGCTACTGTGAACTGCAACCTCAAATGTCCACTGCACAAACAGTTCCTAACCTGATACAGCCGCTTCTCTTGTATTTACACCGGATTTGGGTCTTTGCTACTGTTTCCAGGACAGATGGATAGGCTCAAAGTTCTGGATGTACCTAAGGCATTTAGAAAACACTCCCTCTAAGGGCAAACTCAGTTAGTGGCTGCAGGTGAAAATACTGCCAAAACAGAACCACAGAGGTAAAAACGATGCCACCAAATGTTCGTGTGTCGGCATGCTCAGAAGGTTTGCTGAAATGCAAATAAAAAATAAAAAATCCAGCCCCAAACCCCTGAATGGGACCACCTCCCATCACCCCAAAATTTATACTCCAATGAGGGCTGAGTATGTTCAAAAGCTGCAGAATTTTAGTTAGAAAAGAAAACAAAGAAAATCTATGAATGAAGGTGGCGGCGAGTGTCATTGCCTTCTGGAGGAGAACGGGAGAGCTTTTGTCTTGCAATGTGTTTGGTCGCAGAACCCACTTGTCCATTGCAGAATCCAGCCTCAGAATTGTTCGGTGTGAATTCACAGGTCTTTTCAAACAAACAAAGGGGCTCAAACACAGCCTTCCCTAAATCCTTTCGCCACGCTGTTGGTTGACCCTTTTGGGGCTTACCCCGGGAACAGGAAACACAACCAGCGAAGACCCTTGTCTACCCTCTAGCTGCCTTGCCTGAAGCTGTGGATCTGGGTGGAATACTTCTGCAGCTGCCCCGCGGGATCGTCGTCTTCCCCGCAGTGCTGCTGGTAGTGTTCGTACAGTTTGGACCTGCTCCCCGCACCGGGGGCCTCGGCAGCAGGGATGTGCCCGTTGGACATCCGGAGAATGGTCGAGGTGAGAGACTTAATATAGTTCTTGGCCAAGGTGAGGGTCTCGATTTTGGAGAGCTTGTTCTCCGCCCTCACATGGGGGATGACCTCCCGCAAGGCCTGGAAGGCAGCATTGAGCTTGTGCATGCGCTGCCTCTCCCGCTCGTTGCTCTCCAGCCTCCGCAAGCGCCTGTCTTTGCTCCCTCCCCAAGGCAGTTTCGCGGGCCTGGAAGGGCTCTTCTGGCCCTCATTGTTCCTCTTCTCTTTGCGCCGCAAGCATTTCCCGAGTTCCTCCCCGCCAGGGGCTGGCTCTTGACGCAAGGCGTCTTCGGGGATCGCGTGCCGACGTTTCGCACCTTTGCTTTTGGCCTTCATCGTCGGCGCAACGCCAGGAAACCGGCTCCCAGATCTTTTGCGTTTATTTCCTTGTGGGAGATGTTCCTGGCACCAACCAAAGGGCTGTTTGAAAAAGAAGACACTAAATCAGTTGCCGACAGAGCCGGAAAATGCATTCTCATCAGATGTCACGCAACAGGGGTCTGTCTGGTTTATAAATTCAGCATATAGAGGCAGTGGAGTCCTGAGTTTGGTGAAAAGGATTGTCACTTCAGGCTGCAAGGGTGGATCTGACTTTTGGAATGTAAAAACGTGGGTGGGAAGGCTGCATTTATTGCATACCTGTTTTGTTTTTATATGCAGGCAACTCTCTACTTGTCCCTGACTGCACACATGCATGGTGCAGGGAACCTGGAAATGGCACGAAAGAGCTGGAAAGTCTGTAGCTCATGGACAGACCCTCCCCAGAGCCTGAGGAGGATGACCTCTTTGGGCTCCAGGGAGGGTCTCCTCACAAGCTGGAGGCACAGCAGGACTTAGCTGAGGCTGCTCAGCCTCCCTGCCTAACAGCTGACACGTGGGGTAGCACAGCAGCTGCCGCTTTCCTGCGCATCAGCTGAGAAGCCTCAACAAAGGCCTGTTGAGCCTCCAGCTTGCAAGGAGACCCTCCCTGGAGCATGAAGATGTTCTCTTCAGGCTCTGGAGTCTCCTTGTGAGCCATGAGGGCATAGGTGCCAACTCCCTGAGGCCCTGGGCGCCCAAGCACCCACAAAATTCCCCATAAAGGTGCCGGGCACCCACAAATTTTCGTGCCAGGGCCATGCAGACTGCATGGCACCCACAGCCCCAGGCACCCACAATCACTGGGCCATGCTGGCACTCCTGTGTGAGGGTGTCTACAGGGTGCTCCCCACTTATATGCATTTCAGTTATATGTAGGGGCCTGGAACGTAACCCCCAGATAAGTGGGGAGTCACATGTGTGTGTTTGTGTGTTTGCACATTCCTTTTGTATTATTTGTTTATATAAACCGGTATCCGTAAAAAAAATATAAAAGCCAATTTACAATAATAACACATAAAACTGTGCAGTTTAAATCAGAAATCAGCACACTATTGCGGGAAGGTGTATTCTTAATTGCCTAAACAGGCCTGAAGGAACTGAGAAGTTTTCAGCAAGCGCTTAAAACAGAAGGTGCCTGCTGAACCTCTCTTGGCACAGCATTCCACTGGCCTGGGAGAAGGACATGAAAAGACTCACATCCTCATTATTGTCAAATGTGGAAGTGGTATATATTTTGTAATGTTTTGCTGCTGCTGTGACCCGCTTTGAGCTAAACTTGGTTGTTGGAAAAGCAGGATGCAAATATTAAACCCAAAGCTAGAAAACTAATAAAAGCAGGGAGAGGGAGCTGGGATAGAATGTTCCCCCAGTATACTTTGTATTTTGATTTGGAAGGGATTTCTTGCATGGAGTATTAAAAATGGCAACCTCCCCCTTCTAGATCTCTTGCCTGCTTGGGAGCAGTACCTTCAATGCTCTTGTAACTGTGTCTCCCAGCCCTTGAAAGCCAGGACAGCGAAGAGCTGGGAGAGCCCAGGTGAAGAAATCTGTTTCATACTAATAAAATAGCAGACCCTGAACCGTCTATCCCACCTCCAGGCAGACAATAGATGCAGAGCCAATGTTTATCTTTCTCATCTGCACCCGCCATTCCTCAAAGGGAGCTGAGGCAACACACTTAGGCTCATCCTATTTATCCCACTCACAACTCTGCAAAGTAAATGAGGCTGCAAAATACCCAATTGCCCAAAGACCACCCAGTGAGCTTCAAGGTCAAGCAGAAAGCTGGACCACATTTGCACCTCCAAGTCTCTCGCCACTCTCACCCAGGGATGGAGAAGCCTGTGGATGCTCTAGGCATCTCTGGACTGCAACTCCCTTCATCCCCGACTGTTAGCCATGCTTGTGGGGGCTGATGGGAGTTGGAGTGCAAGAACACCCGGGGGGGGGCAACCAGTTCCCTCCCATCCCTGCCATAAAGAACCCCCAGCTGAGATGGGAAAATCTGATAATGGCCGATTTCCATTGTGAAGAAGGATTAGCACCAGAATCTCCCTCTGCCTGGGTGTAAATTGCAATAGCAGAAAAATGCAAGTAGCAGATCAGCATTTCAGAATTCTAATTCAACACCTGGACAGGGGAAGAGTCTACTGGATCAGGCCAATGGCCCATCTAGTCCAGCATCCTGCCCTCACAGTGGCCAACCAGATGCCTGCAAGCTGGATGTGAGCACCAGATCACTCGCCCTTCTTGCGGTTTCCAGCAGCTGGTATTCAGAAGCATGACTGCCTCTGACTGACTACTGGAAGCTGAAAAGCTCAAATTCAACGTTTTGCAGACTTTCTTGAGTAATCTGGAGACAGAAAAAGATTACTGACTTTCTAGATCAGGGATGGGGAACCTGTGGCCCTGTAGATGTGGTTGGAGCTCCACCAGCCTCAGCAAGCATGGCCAACAGCCAGGAACGATGGGACAATGTCCAACAACTTCTGGAGGGATGTGGGTTTCCCACCGCTGTGTCTAGATCCAATTCTATCTCTTTGATACTAACGGCATCCATAAAAGGGGTGGATTGGTAGAGCTAGATGGTTGAGCTCATAATTTCTAGAAGCAATGGAGCCATCAAGTTATTATGACCCAAGCCTGGTCTCTGGAAACATTTGCTACATATGAATCCATGTTGGAGAGAATGGTCTTCACCATTGAACAACAGCCAACACCAAGCAGCTATATTTGAGAGGAGGGCTGTAGCTAAGCTGTAGAACATCTGCCCCACATGCGGAAGGTCCCAGGTTCAATCCCGGTCATCTCCAGGTAAGGCTGCGAGAGACTCCCTGTCTGAACACCTAGAAAGCCACTGCCAGTCAGAGTAGACAACAGTGAGTTGGATGGCTCTGACTTGGTATTAAGGCAGATTCCTATTATCCAAACAGTTGTGTATTCAAGGTGAGGTTTTTGGGCAAGGAGGTCAACTCAGACCATGCTCAATCTCTTTGAGAGGCAAAATACCATTAAGGGGGGGAAACTAAGCTATGCTTCTCTATTCAGAGCAGAGCAATTAAACCATCTGACCCAGCAGAGTTTGATTAAATACTAGCAGCAACAAAAACAAAGCAGGCAAGTTCATATGCTGTCCACTTCCTAAGTCCTCAAAGGTGAGCAGACGGCTGCAGGAGGCATCCAACCCCAGCTATCCAAGGATAGGAGAGCTGCCCATACTGTTCCAAGGTTGCCTTTAACTTAGGGTCCGCTGCCCCTCTCCTCCAAACTTTATTCTTTATCTCCAAACAGCACCATAAAAATCATAGAACTGTCGGGTTTGAAGGGACAACAAGGGTCATCTAGCCCAACCCGCTGCAATGCAGGAACGCGGGACTTGAACCCAGAACCCTGAGATGAAGAGTCTCATGCTGTACTGACTGAGCCATTCTGGGGTGGTACCTCGATAATCTATAACACGTGAGCACAGCAAATACTCAAGCATTTATTAAGTACATTCAACAGGCAATTGCACTGGGCTGCAGTTCCCTGCTGAGTGCACATGGTACGGCAGAACAAGGCGCAGGGAGTCCGTTGGGCATGTCTCCTGCCCTCTCTCCCCTCTTTAGGAAGCTGCCTTACGCCACATGAGACCAAAGGCTCCACTGAACTCAGTACTGTCTACACTGACTAGCAGTGAGTCTCCAAAGTTTCAGACTGGGGACATTCTTCAACATACTTGGAGATGCTGGGGAATTAAACTATTGGCCTTCTACATGCAGAGCAGGTGTCCTAGCACTGAGCCCTTCTCCGTGCTAGCAGTACTCTCTTTTCATGACTTAGGTCCCCATATGCATTGTACATGCCAAGCAGCACCAGACCACTTTACAAGGGTCCCCCAAATAATCCTGGGGGAAATTGAGTTGTTAAGGGTTGTTAGGAAACCCCCATTCGCCTCGCGGAAATACAGTTCTCAGAGTGGCTTAAGAATCATTGCCTCTTCCCAGGGAACTCTGGGAAATACAGCTCTGCGAGGTTACTAGGGCTCTCCGAACAACACTCAGCACCTTTAAACTACAGTTCCCAGGATTCTTTGCAGGAAGCCATGATTATTTAAAGTGGTATGGTGCTGCTTTAAATGAATCATGTACAGTGGTACCTTGGGTTAAGAACTTTTTATTCTGGAGGTCCGTTCTTAGCCTGAAACTGTTCTTAACCTGAAACACCACTTTAGCTAATGGGGGCTCCCGCTGCTGCGGTGGCGCTGCTGCACGATTTCTGTTCTTATCCTGAAGCAAAGTTCTTAACCTGAGGTACTATTTCTGGATTAGCGGAGTCTGTAACCTGAAGCGTCTGTAACTTGAGGTACCACTGTAGATGGGGCCTTGCGCTGTTGCATCTGCATCCCCAAAGATCTCCAGCAAAAAGCTACATACTAAGAGCTTCTTCTTTCTCACTATTCTGTTCACAGTCCACTTCCCCCTCCCCAAGGAGCCAAAGGGCCGCATGCATAGATCTCCCCTCCATATCTTCATGTCATCACAACAACCTTGTGAGGTAGGCTAGCCTGAGAGACAGGTCAGGCTTCTAGGCGATTTTGGTCCCAAACTCTTAATTAGCTACACCACACACTGAGCCCTGGCAAAGTTAGGACCAGTAAAAGATGTTCCTGATCCAGAACGAGACCCATTCTAAAAGAAGAATGGATTTTTTAAAATGCCATGTTTTGCACTGATAGTTTTAAGAGCATGTGTGTGATCAACCCCCCTTGATTGCTCTCCTGTTCAGATTCCAGTCTTTCCACCAGGATTTTCGATTGTGAGTGGTTCTGAATAAAATATAAAATATGGGGCGGATACCTACCCAGCAATGGGGCAGATGACGGCAGCAGCATCCTTAACTCCAAGCTGGTGTGGTCAGTGAGCAAGGTGCTCACACGCAGGAGAGCAAGTGCTTTGAATTCCTCAGCCTCCTGCAGACTGCTTACCGGAGCTAGGACACGTCACTTTAATGCACAAACAGGTGAGAGGAGGAGTTTGGCTCGGTCAAGTCTTTTGCAAATAAGCCAAGAGGTGTGTGTGGGGCAGTTGTGAAATTATAAGAGTGTTTCGCCATGTGGCTGAAGCTAAGCAAGGATTATGCAGTGTGGGCAGGGATCGCAGAAGCAACATGGGCAACCCCCTTCTATTTGCTGCACAAGAGAGAGTGGGTAGCGGAAAGGGGAGGCTGGTGGCCTCACAGCCATGAAATGCGTTGTTGTTTCTCAGCCAGCCAAGTGAAGCAATCGGGGGTAGGTCGGCCTGACACACACCATAGTAAAGGTAAAGGGACCCCTGACCATTAGGTCCAGTCAAGGCCGATTCTGGGGTTGCAGCGCTCATCTCGCTTTATTGGCCGAGGGAGCTGGCGTACAGCTTCCGGGTCATGTGGCCAGCATGACTAAGCCGCTTCTGGCGAACCAGAGCAGCACACGGAAACACCGTTTACCTTCCCGCTGAAGCGGTACCTATTTATCTCCTTGCACTCTGACGTGCTTTCGAACTGCTAGGTTGGCAGGAGCAGGGACCGAGAAACGGGAGCTCACCCCATTGTGGGGATTCGAACTGCCAACCTTCTGATTGGCAAGTCCTAGGCTCTGTGGTTTAACCCACAGCACCACCCGCGTCCCCTCCAAATGTGCAACTAGTTGAGCTCAAATGCTCAACTCCGACACAAGCAATCCGTGCCAGAGTCCTGGAGAAAAAGCAACCGCAGCAGAAGCGACCCACCTTTGGGTAGCAGTTGATAAGTGTTTGCCACCACAGCAATGGCATCAGTCCTGAGCGAGAGCAGCTATGGCAAACCCAAGGGACACAACACAGCCAGGAGAAAGAGGAAAAAGCAGGTGTGTGGCATGCCATTTGTACTAGGGCCAGTCCTCAAAACTTGTCAATCCTGTTGCTGATATCTGGCTGTGCTCCCTTCACCATGATCAAATGCCATAATTGAAGAACCTGTTCTATTCACCCTAGTAAGCTGTCAACGTCTGTGCCACCCCCCAACCTTGAAGACTGGTTAACGGTACTTTGTAAAACAACTTAATCCTAAAATCTCCTGCATCAACAGATTTTTTAAAAAGTGAAAAAAGATGTGGCGTCATTATTGTAACAATCACCCCACTTCACATATACCCAAAGGCAAGGAGGAACCATAGCTCATTGGTGAAAGCTTCACATTGCCTCAGGTAAGGTGGCACAGTACGAAATGCAGATGGGACACCAGGATTTATAAATATATACCTTTATTTTTATTTTGCATATTAAATAAGGTTCTTTAAATTACAAGCAGTCTTGAATCACACTATGCATGATCAATGTACAGTAGAAATATTACAGTTTTAAAATTTACACAATTTAAAGACAAATTCGACCTGAAATTTCATTGACTAGAATATTGCCATAAACCTCATACCTGTATTAAATTTCCAATAGGAAAACCTCTCCCCTATGATTTTGTAACATAAATTTCCTCATTTACAAATAGAGTAAAACATTGTATATACACACAGATACCATTTACCATTAGGTGACAGCTACCACTGTGTAAGATCAGACGATTTATTAAATGGAACCAAACATCTTAAACTCATTCAAGTTTCATTTGAAAATAAAAACAAAAACCGGGCTGGTGGTACTGAACACTTTCTCCTCTCTTCTGTCCTCTCATCTTAACAATTTGCCCTTAAAGACTTGATTATTATTTTTAAAGAAAGGTTATTTTATACAACTTAAAGCTGAATTTATTTATTTTTATTTTTTACACTCCATTCTTATTTTTAAGGCTATTTCTTATAAGGCTAATAAGTTTCCAATTCCACCTTCCAATCTAAATAGCCATTTTACCCGCAATGCAATTTTAAACTGAGTGCATAATTGTGTCTACCCCCTGCCAAAAAACCCTTCCTAACTAAGCTGTCTCCCTCTCAAAAAAAGACAAAAGGATCAGAATTGCATATAAATCAATCTAAAATACTGATTTTTAAAAAGTAGGCATGAATGGCTCTCATTAGTGCTTCATTAAGTGTGTGTTTTTTTTTAAAAAAAAGAGAATCCATTCATTTCCAATAAAAGCGGTGGCTTTCCCCTTCTCACTTGTGCACAGAACTTGGAAAATTATTTATCAATTAAAACTCCCTTCATTTTGAATTGCTGCATTGCAAATGTTACTTTACAGGGGTGGGATGTAGGTGAGGGAACGTATGACCTACTGAGTTGTATCCAAAGATAACCCAACTCAAGAGTATACATCCATTGGAATGAATGAATTTGACTGACTTTCAGTGGGTCTACTCTGAGTACAAGTGGCTTTGGATACCACCATCCATCTTTCAGCCTGAGCCTCTTTGAACTGCTACACTACCCTGGCCATTATGAGAAGTCCAGCTCCAATTTACAAAACACATGCACGCCCCACGGCCCCTGCAGGGGGACAGCAAGAGCACAGCTGCACTCGTGCAATTGTGGTGCTGCTGCTCCTGGTTCCAGGGCTTCTTAACAACCCCGCAAAATTTAGTGTTAAATAAGCTATTGCTAATGCCTTGCTCTGTTCCCCAAGTGACTCTTCCTCCTCACCTTGGAGCAGCAAAGACGAGAGACCCCTTCAACAGCCAAAATTTTCTGGCTGGGCTCTGGTGCCTTCAGAAGAAACACAGGAGGAGAACTTTACAAGATAAAGTTTCTTCCTAGCAATTCGTCCTTAAAACTGGGGTGTGGGTCAGGGTGGAATTGCTTGCTAAAAGATTTAACATGCAGCTGTTTAAAATGTACAGGCGATCTACTGGGGGGCAGAGGGGAAGGGGAGAGAAGCAGGAACCCTAAACACATGCAGCAGCAGCAGCAGCAGCCAAAGTTGGGATAAGATTCCCTCGTGTTAATTCTTGGATTTGCACATCTGGTCCTAAAGTCACTATCCTCCTTTAAAAACACAGGCTTTAAAGTCTGAAGGAAATCTACAACCCCCCCACCCCACCCCGCTGCCCCCTTGAAGAGAACTGTTACTCCAAACCATCACAACGAATGCTAACCTGCTCAAATCTTGCAAGACACACAACTGTCGTCTGGGTAACTAAGGTGCAAAAAAGGACACAGAAGTCAGCTTGTGAACCATGCAGTAAAGAAACCTCTACATGGTTAAAAAGGTATAAATTTGGTCTTCAAGTGACGTGTTAGGGCTACTAGCCTGGATTTGTGTGCATGTGTGTGTGAGAGAGCTTTAAAATACACTCGTTTTAAGAGCTTTTTGTTAGTTACAGGTGCCTCACAATATCGTTTTGCCCACTACGAGAGAGTTTTGTGTTCATGGGATTTACTCTGAAATTCTGCCTTGCTAATGACACAAATGCACTCTGGGTTCTCACCACAGAGTGGAAGAACAAGCGTCAGAGATAGCGAGTTTGCATTTCATATGGCCAAAGCAACAAATGTGTGTTAGGTTCCATCACAGTCTGTGGAGATCAGTATTTTTTAAAGCCTCCCTCATGATTAGTGCCAGCCGTATGAATCCATTCCAGGAAGTGTTTTCTAATGCCTGTCCCACCCCACCCCCGACAGCCCTGAAGCCACTCAATGCACCAGATGTTAGGCTTGTGGTTGGCTGCATCTCCAAACTGTGTGACTTCCCAGTGTGAATTCCAATCCAGGACTAAGCAAGCCAATTTCTGTCTGCAGCATGAGACTCTGGAGTGCCGATTCTTTGGCAAAAGGGGGCAGGAAGATGCCTCAGGCACCCAGAAAAAACACAGTCATGAGGAATGCACACAAGTGAGATTAGGGTATTCATAATTTTCACACTTAAAAAAATATTATTGGTTAAAAGCAAAGAATACTACCAATACACCCCTTTATTCCATTAACCAGGGGTGGCTAAGCTGTTCTTCTCCTGAGGCTGTAGGGCTACAACTCCCATCATCCCTAACCACTGGCTATGCTGGCTGGGGCTGATGGGAGTTGGAGTCCAACAGCATCTAGAGAGCCACAGCTTATCTCCTTGCCATAAACTAAGTCTGAAGTCATAAACTACAAAGTTAGGGGGCCTATACTTTCTGCTGCACAATTCCATATGTTGTTGAAAACTCAGTAGGGCAGGTTCACTTTTGTGTTTCCTTGCTTTTAATTTTATTGCATTAAGAAAAAGCAGAAAGAGGGGGAAAAACAATCTAATCCGACTTTAAAAATCTCCCTTCTTGACTCAGGCCTGTCCAAGAGAGGAACAACCATTCCAAATAGACCCAAGGTTGTAATGTGTATTTTGAAAATTAATTCAGTGCACATTAAAATTTGCTCTTCCAAGAACAAACATTGCGGGTTACTCCAAGCAGACATTTCTCCAAGCTTTGGCACATGAGATCATGTTGCGGGCAAATGCTTGAAGCAATACATGTCTCAAGCTGTTCTATTATTTTTTCTTTAGACATGAGTTCCTTGTGTAATGGGGGAGTCCATAACTCACAATTTTAATGCACTTCAATTTCTGCCCTCCACAGGGCTCATGAGAACCAGCCTGGCTGAAGGAGAACGGCAAAGGAAAACCCTCAATACTTTCATACATTCTTTGATGAGAAGGTTTAAAAGCTACCAATTTTCATGCCATTTACAGATGTCCTCAGACCTGAAGCAGAAAGAAACCTGTGCAGGTCAGCTGGATAGCTTAATTTTTAAAAAAAAAACAAAAGAAAACATTTTTTTACACATGTCTTCCACTGCCAAAGCTGAGGCTGCAAAACACATTTTACAGCTCAAGTGCTCATTTTAAGAGTGAGACTGGGGGGACGGGGGACGACGACCCTGCAGCTTATATTCTGAGTTCACCACACTTAGGAGAGCTATACACTAAACCCCTTCCTATTTTATGAATGCCAGAGTAGCTTTCCATCAGCAGAACAGGGCTCCGGCAAGGGATTTAAAAGCTCTGGAAGATCTGGGTCTAACAACACACTGCCAATTAGCCCTTAAGTTTCTATTAGCCATCCTTAAGGTATTAGAACTACCAGTTTTGCATGGAAACCTGCAGTATGTGCCAACTACAGCTGGCACAGAAGGCCCAAATCCCTATTGAAGATTGGTTCTCAAATATCCACAGGTGACGCCTGCTCTGCTAAAGCTGCTTCTTTAGAGAATCTCAACTTCAAACACAAAGAGAAAGAGCAACTGCATGAGTCAACACATCCCCTTTTACATTGCATCTGCAGAAATGTTAACACTTCCCTGAAGATGAGATGAGCGATTCAAGAAGTTACCCAGTAACCAAGACCATCATTTAAGGACACACACACACACACACACACACACACACACACACACGGACATTGAGTCTTCCAGACGTCTTGGGTGCAGAGGGAAGCAAACAGAAGAATGTTACAACACCACAATTTTTTTTTTAGCCAACTATAACTAAAAAGTCAATTCGTCGACCACTGTACTGCAGATGGGAATATAAGAAAGTGAATTGCCCCTTTAGAAAAGTGGACAGCATACAAAGCTCCAGAAATTATAAAAACAGGAAGACTCAAGCTCTGTACACCCCAACAAGTACGCTGTGCAAAAAAGGGGCACAGGAGCACAAAGCAAACCAGTTAGGCAGGTAAAGGACCCCAACAACTTCCATCAATCAAGAAGCAAAGAAGAATGGCTTTGTACAATGCAGGAGGACCTGGGAAGGGCAGTTACTAGTGCATCTGCAGCTAAGCAAGGTGTGAAGTCTTTGAAATATGGCTTTCTACACAACAGCTCTCAAGTCAGGCAGCTTCAAGTGACATAGCCACCTTCTGCTCAGCTATGTACAATTTTACATGTTCATAGAGATAATACATTGAGAATACAAAAGGGTATGGTACAATCCTATATATAAACCAGAGCATAACTTGTACATATTTGTTACAAATTGTCTGCAGGATACTTCAAGTACTTTGGGGGTAGGAGAGGGGGGAGAAGGGGAAAGCTAGCACGATATATATTTTTAAAGGAAATGCAAAATGCACCAGTTTTCAAAAAAACCCACAGTACACTACAAAAAGTAACATCCACCTTCAAGTTCAGGTCTTGATCTAACATTGCCTTCAGAGTGTGCAAACATCTTGATTATTGGATTTCAGCAGGTCTGCTTTGTTTTCAGATGCAAGAGGGTAGTCGTTGTTTTTGAAAATGAAAATATTGGCTGTTAGGCAAAAAGCAGAAGTGACTCCCCCACAAAATGATGACCATTCACCGAGGGAAGAAGCTTCAGTCTTTTTCTCCATCTTCACTGCTCCCTGTTAAGAGACACAAGGCTATTATTAGAGGGTGAGGCTTTGGATATTCTGCCTCCAGAATGAGTTCCTTCAGACTGTGGATTCATCTCAAGGCCTGTTTCCCAGGGACCTTTTCCTGGACAAGCTCTGCTGAAATTGCAGCAGGCGGGTGTGAAAGTATTTAAAAGAACACGGGTGCATTTTTGTGCAAATCAAATACAGATTGTACCATAATAGTGCCCCAGCAGTTTGGGCCGTTTCTCCCTCCTCCAAAAGTGAGGTTCTGATGTTTAAAAAGCACCTGAATTATCCATCTCCTGTTATGAAATCAACCCCAGGGACACAGCTGGAAGTCTGTCAGGCACAACTGTCTAAATCGCACAGTTCAATGTCAGGACATAATAGAGCTAACTGCACTATTTAAACACTGGCCTTAATGATAAACAAGCAAATACTCCTATCTAATCAGCACTCTGCTGAACCTAATATAAGTTCGTATACCAAACACCAAGGACCCACAAGCACCAGGGGCATTTAGGTGCTCAAAAATATCCTAGTTTTATGATTAAAAATAATAATAATCTAGCCAGTCGTGAACTTGCTTATTTGGTGTGCTTTAAATTCCAAAGGACTTGGGAATTCTTTTGGGCAAAACAGAGTCAGTTCAGGGCTTGCACCACTCCTATTCGTTTCCAGTGAAGATTGGGCAAAAGAACCACCTGGCTGGGCTGCATAGGCCAGACATAGCTACCTGAGATTTTATTCTCTGTTCTGCCACCTAAAATCCATCCATCTTGCCACACAGTGAAGCCACTTCTACAGGCAAGCTACAATATGACGCCAAAGAAAAGGAAGTAGTAGGTATAAATCAGGAAAGGCAAATACACAGGGATTACAAAGGAGAGCCATGAACAACAACAGGCAGCAGCTATTTAGGAAAAGGATGGGCAGAAGGTAGATCTACTTTCCTTACTCAAGATTTTATCATCTTTTAATAATCGCTTGAGCAGGCATTGCTCGAAAACCATACTGATGTAACAAACGAGTGCTTGAAGGAAAATACTTGCCTCCCTGTTCAATATCAGAATCGGTAAGGTGAGTGAGCGAGAAGCTTGCAATGTTTGCTGGAGAGATAGAGAACCTGGAGTAAGGTAAAGGATTTGACCAGTTTTGTTCAGAGCTCCGAGGCAGTGGTGGTGGGGAGAAGTACTTTGAGGTCTGAAGAGAAGGCTTGGAACTAATTAGGCTGTTTGCTGCCTTTGCTATGAAAGAGGGCTCTGGAGAAGAGAAGTCGTCGTCCCATTCAAAACCCCCACCTGGAACAAATCACACACACACACATTAAAATAAAATAAAAATCTGGAGAAAATGCCGAAATCTCCAGGGAATGGAACTTGCAATTAGTTCAGAGAACATTCTCTGTGGATTAGGCTTATAGCCAGTATCAGAAATCTTTAAATGCATCAACTGAAGCAGATGAACTGTATGCAAAATTGGACATATGATAATGGAGCACACACATGCTATATTTTCCTACTTCTAAGAGCACAAAACCAGATTTTTGAATCCTTAGGTAGACACATGGGCAAAATAGGGGCCTATAAAAAAAATAAGGTGATGCATGACACTGATTTTTGCAAAGTGAAGCACAGACTATGTCACCAGATTCCCTTATATATTCTCTTTGTTAGGGATGGATGGTATACAAAGAACAAACTCTTCTGATTGGGTTTCTCCTTGCAGACCACCACACTTCCTTAAATTTAAACTTAAATCTGAATATTTACACTGAAAAGTGGAATTTCTGTTCAGCATGTGATCAACATTTAAAAGTTATTTCGGAGCTTTGTCCTTTATGTTCATATAGTCAATAGAGTGGGTGACCAAGCAAATTCTAAACGCATCAACAGAAGCTTCACAAGTGAAAGGAAACCACAGTTAAAACAAAGTAAGGGTGGTTATCCTATCTATACAGAGGAAGCTGCCTCATAATGAGATACCCCATTGGCATATCTGACACAGAACTGTCTGGCATCAACTCTCTAGGCTTCCAGACAAGATTACTATCCCTATCCAATCTAGAGATGTCGTTAGTTGAACCAGAAACCTTTTGCATGCAAAGCTCTGCTACTAAGCCATGGTCCTCCTTTTAAGATCACTGTAACACCAACATCTTTATTGGGAAACTGCAATTGGATTAAACTGAAGCAAGCTTGGTTTTAGATTAATCATTGGTCGTAATACAAAATTCAAAGTTATGTACATCACCGATGAACATGGTCAGTTAGAACAAGCATTCAAGCAAAGAAACGAGTGGAAGAAAACGTACTTGTTTCGCTTGGGAACTCTGTATGTTAATTTTATAAAGGAATACACTTAAACTTGCAAGCCAAATATTAAGTACCTTCTTCATCTGTAGAACTTTCTGAATTTGTAAATTTATTCAAGTAACCAGGGCCTGAAGCAGGAACAGGAGTGTTATCAGAATCCGAGTGGTTTGATTCTGTAGCACGATTTCCGAGCTCTTTGGTTGGTGTTTCCTAAAAAATAATCCAAAGAAATACTATTACTTCCATTACTGTATGCATGTGGTGCTTCACCAGTTGAAACCATATTGAAGATCTACAGTGTGGTATTTCAAAGCAGCCCAGATTTTCTTGGTTTGGGGGCATAGGGGTGGGGATGTTGATGTACTACCCACCGAGTTCACAGAATCATAGAATTGTAAGGGACCCTAAGGATCATCTAGCCCAACCCCCTGCAATGCAGGAATATGCAGCTGTCCCATATGAGGATCGAACCTGCAACCTTGGCATTATCAGCACCACGCTCTAACCAACTGAGCTATCTAGCTAGCAACTGCATCATCATGCATTTCATTTTACAACTGTTTACCGTTGTTACTGCATGGCATTTACCGTACTCTTATTTCCAGGGGCTGCAAGCCTGAAGTGGGCAGGGCTAACGCAAAAATAGGTGCAGCCAGGGCTGAAAGTCAGCAGGGGGATCCCATACACTCACCTTCAGCTCAAAATAAAGGCATCTTCAAACCCAATTGCCTGATGGGGAAACTTCTGGTATGGGGAATCACCATACACGGGGAGGGTTACCAACAGCAGCAACATCTTCTGTGGCCGGACTTCCAGAAAGAACCACAGCTCCCACAATACAGCACCCCCAAGTACCAAAAAGATTCCTACCGTATAAAACCTTTTGTGTGGATCAACAGACCAAAAGATCTTGGTAAAACATAACTCAATTATTTTGGACAGCACTCAAAAGTTAAGAAACTCTGCACCATTCCGCAAACCTAATCATCGTTCATTTCTAGACGTTTGGTTTTTTTATGTTTTGTTGCTTTTTTAATATAATTAAAGGCCTCAATTTGCTGTGCTAGTTTGCTTTCCCACAAGGTATAAAAGGCACCTTGTGGCCTATCTTATTACAGAAGTAGGAACTAGATACACAACCTTGGACTTCTGTAAAGTAGGTCAACTATTTTCAGAGAGAGGGAGAGGGAGTGTACACACACAACCGTTCTAACTCAAAGAACTACAGGCAACCCCAGTGTTCTTCACAATCACAACTGTAGGTTACAGTAACCACCAATTGTTTCGATCCCCATGTGCTTCTTTGCTTAAATCATTGCCATTTAGTGCAATTAGGAGGCGAGTTTGATGCAGTTAATGCAGCATGGCTCAGGATGATATATTTCTTTATAGAAGGCCACTTCTTAGTGGGACACTGACTAGGAAAATTACAGGTAATCTGAATATTTTAGTTATATTTAATTGTATTTACCTACCTCTGTACAAACGAGGTATGGACTAAACAGGATAGATCGAGGAGCTGATAAACTTGTTCTATGATGCTCTTATTTTAGAATGAACGATCAACTCCACTCGTCCATCTTAGTTCAAACCCTTAAAAATCATGTGGGACAACAGGAATTCAGGCTTTTCACTTTCTTTTATGATTTAACACAGCTTACGTGTTGTGGCAATGATTTATTGTGAAAGCACCAAACTGTATGAAGAGGAAACAAATCACGATCTCTGGCTTTAGCATTACACCCAAATGAAGGTTTGTTTCAATCCAAAAGGAAGTCATCAGAGCAGAACCGCAATCTGTACTTTGGACATCGTGCTAAGCCAGAGACAGCAGAGTGGGCGCAATCAAATTGAGCACATCTTTTTATGGCTTACTGTGATCAGTGTGCATATCCATTACTTGCACAGCTTTTGAAAACACAAGAAGAGTCTGCAGGATCAGGCCAGTGGCCCATCTAGCCCTGCATCCTGTTCTCACAGTGGCCAACCAAAAGTCCAAGGGAAACTGAGCTTAACAGCACTCTCCCCGACCTGAGATTCTCTTAATCTCTATCGTGAACTCCCGCAAACACACAATATTTAGATTCTATGTTTTTTTTCTGCAACAAAATATTTGCATAAGAAAGATTATGAAAACTCTGGCCTCTGAGATTATGTGGCTATTCTGTCTTCTCCTCCCCTCCTCAACTAGAGCCAGGGCTTTCTCAGCTGCGGCTCCAATCTGGTGGAATGCTCTGTCACAAGAGACTAGGGCCCTGCAGGACCTGACATCTTTCCGCAAGGCCTGCAAGACAGAGTTGTTCCACCAGGCCTTTGGTCAGGGCCCAGCCTGACTCCCTCCTCTGGCAACCTGCACAGAATTTTGCTCAACAGTTGCCATTAATTTGATTTTAATTAATTTTTAGAATGAAATGTTTTTAGAATGTTGGATTATTTGATTGTTTGATTGTTGTTAGCCGCCCTGAGCCCGGCTTCGGCTGGGGAGGGCAGGATATAAATAAAATTTATTATTATTATTATTATTATTATTATTATTATTATTATTATCCTTGCACAAACTTCCATTTGCCACAGTGAGCCCAAGGTTTCCAAATTGATTGTGACCTTTCCACCACCAGCAGGCACTTACATTTTAGAGAACAAATAATGAGAAAAGCATCAGATACCTGATCGAAAAGATAGACTGTGACATCATCAAAGAACGTTACGGCTTTCCTCTCATTCTTCATAAAGTTTTCAGAAGGGTTGTTCTGCCCTGGTGGCTTCGGATGTTTTAACAAGCTTCTTAGATGTTTGCCATCATCCCTATCAGTAAGGATCACCGGTACTTGATGGACAATTTCCTCATCGCTGTCAGAGCTAAGTCCATGCAAGTGGAAAGTTCTCATATCATCCTCAGAATCATCACTGTTCTCATCTTCTTCATCAGCATCATCCCCATCCACTGATAGATCAAGCATCCCAGAAACATCAAGTTTACCAAGGTATTTTCCTTCGATGTCTGGCTCTTTCAGCTTATTATGACCTTCAAAGTGGCACACTAAGGATTTTTCCAACACTTCAGCAGGGCCATACAAGTTAGGGGTGAGCTTTAGATCTCTCTCAGGAAGGAAGTCTGCTGTGTTAGTGCCTGTGCAAGAGACACTTCTGGGGGAATCCTCATATATGATCTCAATGTCATCTTCATCAGTAGGCTCTAGTTCTATCACAGGTAGCAATGAAGCTGTATTGTCACCTTTATGAAGATACTCTTGCTTTGTTTCAGTGATCTCCAGCTTCTCCTCCAACTCTAGCTGCAAGTGTGAGTTCTTTGTGAACTGGTCACTGGCTACTTGATCATCACTTAACCGATTTTCTGCATTTTTGTGCTCTTCTATTTCAAAGTAGTCACTGCACATACCACCCTCTGTTCGTACTTGAGCGTCTGCCAATGTATTTGTAACCTCAGATTTCTTATCTAGTTCAGAATCGTTATCAGAAAAATAGGCGGAATCTCTGTACGAATTCTGGATGCCACCAAAAGAAGCCTTAGAGATGCCTTCAAATGTATCCATGGTATTTGCTGTGTCTAAGTCTGTATTGACATCTGACGACAGAATGATCATAGGCTTATCATGCAAAAGACCATCACCAGCAGCACTGGACAAAGCCATGTCTTCATTGGAGTTGCTGCCAACAAGGTGTGAAGTCCATTCAGGAGACTCCAGGTTTTCAGTTTCATAGCCACTGTCAGCAGGTTTATCAGGTGGCAAAGGTTTCTGTGGGCTCTGACCCACTAAAGACTCTAAGACCTCAATAACATCTAATGAATCCAATGAGTCTGGTGTATCAATAGACTGCCCCATGCTCTGTGTGGGAGCTGATAAACTGTCCTCCAGTAGACTGTCATGACTTGTACGGTCTGAAGGAAGGACAGAGGAAAGAGCAATGTCTTTGATCGGGGTCTCCTTGTTACATTTCTGAACCTTGGTTAAAGCTTCGTCAGTTGGCTCCAGAATATACTCATCACCTTGCTCTAATCCAGATGGCTTATTCTTCAGATCCTCAATCAGCTCCCCCCAAGAACTACTATTGCATTTAAGTTCCTGCTTATTCTGCTGTCTTTCTTCCTCTTGAGCATGAAGTGCAATGCTATGACAGGGGCTACTCCCATTAGTTTGGTTTTTGGCATTCATGGATAACGTTTCATTAAAGCCAGCTTCAGAGACTTGATCCATGTCAAGGTAAGAGTAATCAATACTGCAGGCAGAGTTATCATTAACTTCTATGTTAGGAGAGGGTTTTTCAGTTCCTGATAAGGGGGATACCTGCTCCTTATCCATCGCAGGTGACCTAGGAGACATTTGACCTTGCATAAGGGGCTGGGGCGGAATACTTTTGTTTTTATTTGTGCTCATTTGCACAAAATGTTCATCTTCATGGACTGGAGAATTCCCATCCATTTTAAGTTCAACCCCCAGAGAGTTTGTATTTGGTGGATCTAGCATTTTTGTGTTGTCAGATGCTCTTTTTAAGTCACCACCACCAGTTCTGTTACTCAGTGCCCCCTTTAATAAATTATTCTCTTGAAGGAAAAGAAAGTTATCTGACAGCTCTTCTGAAGTCAGTAAGCTAGGATCGGACTGCATTATGATATCCTCCTGCAAGCAAACAGCTTCACTTTCAGAAGCATGTCTGGGACTTCTCTTCTGGAGCTGATCAACTACACACTCCTCAAGACCTGAATATGAAACTGCTTCAAGCTCGACATGAATATCATTTAGATCAGCCAACTCAAACCTATTTCTCATATCTGTAAATTGTTCCATTCTGTCAATATCACTAAATATATCTTGGAAAGGACTTTCAGGACAATGAACATGGAAATCCTGTCCCTTGGGATATGTATTGTGATGGAGAGAGTCCCCATCTGTAGTGGATTCAGCAGCAAAGTCCCCAAGAACTATGAAGTGAGAGTTTTTGTCCTTTACAACTGCATGACTGTCCATGTCAGTCATCAATATAGAATCCTGGTTATCAAAGTTTACACTATTGTCTCTGCTCTTCTCTTCTAACTGGATGTAATAATCATTTCCAACAGAAGGGTTTTGGGCATTAAACACGGGAAGTTCCCCAGGGACACGAAGCACATCCTGCCCACTTTCAACTTGATTCCCAGGTCCTTGCTCCGTAAGTGTGTTCTCAAAAACCTCCACTGGGAAGAAGATATTGGTGTAAGTCATTCCCTCATCAGGATTTGCCTGGCTGCATTCAAAGTGGTCTTGTTTGGCTGCTTCCCAGATGCATTCAAAGTTGAGCCCTCGACTTGTTTCAGTTACCGTGAGAACTTCTTCCATCTCACGGCCAAACCTGTTGCCTGTGAAATGATCCAGGATTGGAAAGGCAGAGTTACCAGAGGACTCTCTGTTTGAAGTATCAGGCTTGAGATCATTCCACTGTTCAGGATCAATCACCGAATCCCTTTGACTTTGCATACGGAGATACGTTAGAAGCTTATGCACTTCGTCTGCTGTTGCTCTCTTGTCTGGAGACAGCCAACAGAACTGTAAAACTTCATACCTATGAAAAGAACAACATATTCCATTTTCAATAATGTAGGTAATAATGGCCATTAGGAAAAGTCAATGATGTATCAGGACAACAATTCCTTTCAATAGGCAATAAGTCTTCTTAAGTTTGAGAAACATGCCAATTGTTTTACTTCTACTTATTAAGTGCTTGCAAACTTTTTACTACTGTGACTTATTTTTGGCATTACAAAACAGACCTCCCAATATTCAATATCTGCTCAGTCACAATACCACTAGATGGTCACAGGGAGCCACAACCTGCCCACCTCTGCCCTTTCCTATTAGTCTTAAATAGCTATTTTAAAGACTGATGAAATTAATGGAATATAACTGGATATAGACTTCAGATACTCAAGTTTTACCATCTATCAGAATATGGCTGCTCAAGACGAGGTTCTGAAAGCTTCGTCTGCTTCTCTTTTATGACCTGCACCAGAACTTCATCATCAGATAAATGTGAGTAAGGCTTCACAGCACCGCTGAAAAGTTCCCATAGTGTTACACCTAGTGACCTGCAAAAATAAAAGTCTTCAATAACAAGATGCCAGAACACAACACAATTATCCCATCATGGTACTCAGTCCATAAGCTATGTCGAAAGGGATTTTGATGTGCAAAAACCTATTTCAGTTCTACTACTCAATAGTAAATCCCAACCCTGTTACATTTTCAGTAAAATTAAAATGGGGCCTTTGGAGATATATATTATATATGCATGCTAGCAATCCACTCTGCAGACTTGTTTTCAAAGGAACTGCCCGACAGTTCTAACACACTCGTGTCAGTCAGAGGAATGGCTGAAACAATCTCAACAATCTCTGCCTTGCCAATTTTTTCTCTACCTCCTCTGTGTGCAAGGACAGAGAACTTCCATTTTCCCTTTAGAAAGAGGCAGCAGTTTGCCATTACGTATGAATTCATAGGATTGTGGTTTGTTCTGGAGACAATCAGTTACAAGAAACCAGTTTCAAACCATGGTTTGAAACTCTGGTTTATTTTTAACATATGGTATTTTAAACAAACCAGGGTTCTTTGAGTTTGTATAAAGCAGCAAACTGCAGTTTGCTTTAAGTGAAAGCAGAAGCTCTCTTCCCTTTCCCCTCTCACACAGAGAGAAGGTAGTGCCAAAGCTGGACTCCAGCTCCTATCAGCCCCAACCAGCACAGCCAAAGAATGACAGGAGCTGTAGTCCAACATCTAGAGAGCCACAAATGTCCCAACCCTGGCCAAGATCTCCCTCTGAACCAGGCCAAACACTTTCAATTAAGCAAAGCCTTAGACTATTGTTTTCATACCAGATGTTACTGTACTTTGTTTGCTCAGCTGTTAACAGTCTGTCCTGAAAGCTAGTCACCAGCTCTGGTGCAGTCCATCGAAGAGGCACAAGCTTCTTTTCATCTGTTTCAATATAATCTTCCTATTATATCAAGGAAAGAGACAAAAAATTCAAAGGGCAAACAAAAACCACACATTGTCAAATGCTGTTTGTTCTCTCATGCCTCAGATTCCTTGGAATTAGAGAACCCTTGAATTGCCTTTGCGAAAAAAGAAGGGTCAGCACGAGGGAACCAAAGCCAAAAAAAAACCGCAATGAAGGTTCAAAATGAAGCTAAAGTTGGAGGGAATATTGGGGATTGCAATGTGCCCAGTGTGTTTTGGAGTAGAGTCTTTCAGAAGCAAATGACATAAATAAATCACTACCAAAAAATGATCAGAAATCTCTTTGCCCCAGAAGGTGGAAATACTCTGAAATGTATTGGGCAAAATCCAACATTTAATTCTATGGCTGAATTTCCTATTGATTTAGTTCAACTGAAAAATCAATAAGTAATGATTAACTTAGTCTGTATAGCTGAGGCTTTGCTTCCTCTTTTTGGCTTCTGTAGCTTTTGGCCAGCCTTTCTGCATTGGAAACCTGCAATTCAGTGCTCACCTAGACATCTCTGGCAAGTAATAATTGCCTCTATACTTCAGCACTGCTGCCGTGGGAACTGAGCTAGTTGCACAGCCTCCCTACTACTGTCTCTTAGCAGAGAAGCACTGTGGAAGCTATACGGTGGAAGGGGGAAAGCAAAAGCTACATGCTCAGCATGTACAGCATTATCCTGTAGCTACAGAGCACTACTATGGTGGTTGGGTGCATGGACCATCTTCAGTGCCATCTGGTGACAGCAGAATCAGTAGAATGGAGACAGAAAGAAAAAGATTGGGGCAATCAATCAGAATGTCCAGGCAGTGTTTCCTATGGGTTTATGTAGGTCCACATTAAAGTAGACTGCTCAAGAAACAGACTGGTAGCTAGACCACAAAATTAAAGCATTTAGGTGGAACCTAGTATTTTATTTTATTGATCCATGGCACTCAGGTTTTATAATGCAAAAACAAATTTAAATTGTTTACCAAAAATGAGAAATTTAGCTGTGTGACATGCAGAGAAAATATTTATTCACTCTAATGCCATATATTTCATCCAAACAAGTTTAAATAACCAGTGTTGACTATCATCGTATGGATATAAGTTCAGGTACATTTGATGCTCATTAAATGCACTACATGGTGCAAGCAAAGGTGAAATGAAGCTCCAACAAGTTTTCTGTTTAAATGAGAAGCAGCCAATAGTGGTTTGCCATTTTTACTGGAGGAATGACGGGAGGGAGGATGCAGAAAAAACATCCAGGGGAAGGATTAAGCATGCCCTCTCTATGCCTCAGAACACCACCAGAGGCTGCTTTTAATTTTTTAAAGAGTGTTCCTAATCCTACTGGATTCAGTTACTAGCACAAGATTGCACAGGCCTTAATATCAGCAGTATATAGTACCTCTTAAATGGCACAATCCCACTGACATATGCAAATTACTGCACTAGAACAAAGAGTAGATGGAGAAGATCAGCAAGTCCAACATGCACAGATGCATCAAAGAGCAGTATAAAAATGGAGATTACAATGTGCACCATTATCAAGCTACAGAACTGCTCACAGTTCAGCAAGCCCACATAAAACAGTAATTTGTAACTTTAGCCACTGCCATTCTGTAAATGTGTCAACTTACCTTATACCTACTGAATCCTATTCCATAATCTCCCACTTTTACGTTTAGATCGGATGTAAGGAAGCAGTTGCGTAAGGCTAGGTCACTGGAAAAAAATATCAAAAATGCTGCAGTGAGAACAAAAGTTCACAATAGCTCCTATGATTAAAAAAAAAATCAATAATGTAGCCAAGCTCATCTGACACAGCACAGTATTAGATTACAGCTTTAAATATAGCACCAGCCATTCAAAAATCATCATGGAACATACGCATGTGCTTATCTGAGCCCTGGAGAACCAGAATGGTGAAATGGATCAAATATTGGACTTTGGCTAGAAAGCATGAGTGAAGCTGCAACATTCACTTGGTGATCTTAGGCCAGTCTGCTGCAAATGACATCTTTGTGAACAAACAGCAGCTGGAGGGTGGGGGGAAGAGGGATATATTTGGCAGGAAACAGGGGAAGGGGTCTAGATCAGGGTCCTGCAGCTGTTTTTTCTTCAAAATAGAAAATAGAAGTGGCCAGCTAAACACGCTTCTTAACAAGCAAAAACAATGTAGTATGTACTTTTGCTTTTCGAATACTGTTGTGCAAGTCATGCAGGGCAACCTCAGACAACCACTGCATAGACAGACTACACGCAATTTCATTAGGGTTGAGTTTCAGTGGATAAATGGCAGTTCAGTTACCGGCCCCATTCATGTCAACGTTTTATTCATACATAAACTGTAAAATAAAAAGGGGTTGCGATTCAGTTGAAGAAATGTGTGCATTTATAAGACTATGCTGCAGCCACAACCTCCAACTCATGTGATGAGATGTCAACTTTGTGATCTTCCAACTCATGGATCGAAGCAAAACAAGAAACAGAACTGCAAACGTCTTTCTATTCTCTGGCGTGGGGTAGCGGGAAATGCAAATAAGAAGGTTGCTGCTAAATTCAGCATGCCTTAGAACCTACTAAATCTAGTATTTCAGAACTAAGGGATTTGTCTTTGTCTTTTATGTAATGTAAATGCAAAAGCATTATTCATTTGGAAGCCATACCCATGGACAAAATTATGTTTATGCATTATGCAGAGTCCAGCTGCAATTTCACACGCCATCCTCTGTAGCAGCATTATTTGGGAATCTCCTTTAATGTTCTCCTGTTCATTGCAAAGGTACGTTTTTAGGTCACCCTGTAAAATAAGAACAGTCATCAATGCCTTCTCAAGCTGGTTGCACTTAACAGTTATTTAATGAAGCAGCAGCTAAGCGCAGTTTAGGTCTTGCCAGTCAACAAGGTTATAAATATTAGTTATAAATAAGCTTGCACTCAGAGAGCACTGTCGTCAAATTTCAAGTCTCTATAACGTTTCTTTAAAAAGGCAGCCGAGGTACACACCGTGACTGTTTTAAAGCCATTCAGGACTTATTTATGCACTTATAATAACTGGTCTGGAATAAAGTTATGGGGAAATGAAAAATGGAAGCTATACCCACAGGTCTTCTTTGGGACAGGAAAAGAAAGGGGCTAAGAGGATAAGAGGCAAGAATGACAATGCATGGAAGGATGGATAGCAGCACTGATCTCTGTGCAAAGTGGCTGTGCTTCTGAACCTGTATCTCTCATACACATTAGCCACTACACTGCACCAGCCCTGCACATAAGGGCTGGATTAAAGCAGACTCACACCACACTCAAGTATTCTGAAAAACACATCTACTATACTAGGATCACACGAACTGATCTGAGAGAATGATACTACAGTACTACAAATCTTGAGTTTCAACATTTATTCATTGAAGCAAGAGGACACGACACTTAGCAGTAGACTGTATAAGAAAACTGCAGACAGGTGAAGGGAACAGAAGTTCCACGGTAAATTTCAAAGTGTACATCTCTCATTCATAAATGGATGCCCACCACTCAACTATTCTATGTTTGTTAACTGGCCGCTGGATGCCTGGGCGCAACTGAAAAGCATTGGGTTGGAGGCAGCATCTAAATTCTATCTGGCTTCTAACCTGCAATGCCTCAACCCATGAACACATTACAGAAGCATGTGCACAAAGCAGAGGCAAAACTGCTTCACCAACCCTAGATGGCAGCAAACTATTAGGCAAAAGTCACAGCAGCATAAGAGAAGTTTGTTTTACAGCAAGACACCATTTGCTGAATTACCTCCTACAATTTGCAAGTAAAAATGATTACAGGTTGTTAAATGAGTCTACTGCCCTATGTTTTGCGCGGGGGGGGGTGTTATTTTGTTTTTTAAGGAAGCCATTTCTCCTGGACGGGCTTCTATTCAAAATTCATTTGCACTAAAATAGCTCACACAAAAATGTACTTTAACCCACACCTTCCAGAATGCAAGTGTAAAAAGCAGAGATGAAGAAGGGCATGAACAAAGCTTGACTGGGAAACTGCTTAAACACTTCCTCTGCACAACAGCAGGCTGCCAAGTGGCCAAAACAGTTCTGAGCATAATGGGTTAGCACAGTCTGGAGATGCATCTGTTAATTTGCAATGCACAACATATTTAGTGTGCAACATACATTTGCAACTCTTTTGTTTTAAGAACCTGCACTTGAATAACACAGTGTAAGTTTCCTTTTATAGCTTCTGAAGACTCACGGCTAACAAGATTAGTAATCAACTATGGGCTGTCATGTTCAAAGCAAAATCCCAAACCCAGGCTTGCCTCTGAAGGTACAACAAGAAACTATGGCCAACCACAACTCCCTGACAAGCATATGGTTGCAAATGTGAATTATGTTGCATTCATACTTTTAAAATGTAAGCTAATTTCTTTATATCCTGATCTTAACTTGGGGCTCCCAGCATTCTCTCATCTAGGCCTCCACCAGTTAACTTCAAGCGCTCCCAAACCATTCAATCAGCCCTCCATTCACCTTTACACACATTTTTTACATTTACAGTTAAGACTATATTATGCGTGAAGTGGTCCTAATCCCTTTTGAACTTCAGAAAGGAAATGCTAAAGATGTAACAGGAATCAGTATACAGTACTTTAAGCTTCTTTACGCAATAATTTAGTACAGGCACGTCCAAAGTCTGGCCCGGGGATCTAATCCGGCCCCTGCGGCAGTTTATTTACTGGGCAAAAAAACCCAACAACTTCAACATCAACCCTAAAAAAAAAGCCCAACAGATTTGGGGGAAAATCTTTTAAAAAACTCAGCAACTTTGGTTGTCCCTCACACATCTTCACTTCATCAAATCTGGCCCTCTTTGAAAAAAGTTTGGACACCCCTGGTTTAGTAGAAACTCATGGGCTTCTGCATACAATTCCAAATTGCTACTGTGTGTCTCTTCAGCAGAAGAGGAGAGAGGAAGGCAGAGGAAGGAAAGGATATACAGTTTCTACCACTGGCATCCCAGAAAATTTAAGGCTTCCTTCAGGAATGGTGCCAAGTTAGAACTATTCATTGCTCATATTCGTTACCCACACAGTAATGACATTTTTCAAATGTGCTACAGTAATTTTTCTGGAATTAATACATTAGGTTTCTCCAATTCCTGGTTTGGAAACTGAATATCAAAAAGGCACTAGTGTAGCACGACTGACTTGCTCTTACCTTGGTTCCTGTCGTATGAACTGTTAAAAGCCAACTCCCTCTAATGATCCATAGTTTACTGTTCTAGTTTAACTATTTAATCAAACTGTTTGACTGAAATACACGTTGCCAAGCAAGACGCTCCCAATTAAACGTTAGCAGATTAGGCTTTGGAAAATATATTTAATACTAGTAGTAAGTTATGCAAACTGCAGTTGGAAAGAGCTATCTCAGAAGAGTCATTCTTCCTGAATTCAAGGGAAGAGGAAATGTCTTTTCCAAGAGGATACTTCCTATAACACATGGATCATCTTAACACACACTGCTTCTTAAGAACCATTTTTCCACATGCAAATGTTATGCAGGAGCAAAAGGACGAAATTCAAAAACAATGGAGACTCCTCCCCCCTTCATCAAGCAGCAGCTGAATTTTAAAACCAAACTGGAAAACCAGAGCAAAAAAGAGCTGCTATCTGGAAGCCTCTTAAATCCTCCTTCGTGGCTGCCTTCTCTGCATACACAGTTGTTTGCATGTAATGGCTTGCCACACAGCAACCTTCACCACATCATTGCAAACTTCCCAAATGGGGAGAGGGGGAGGGCTTACCTGCCCATATGGACCACTACCTGCCAGTAACTTGCAACAAAGAGAAAACCACTAGAGGGAGATATTTAAAGCACCTGCTCAAGCTATAGCAATGCCTGTACTTTGGAACTCCCTGCCTATTGATGTTAAGCAGCAAGCATAACTGTAATCTTAGTACACCATCATTGTATGTTTTTGCTTTGTACTGTACTCTATTAGATGCCTGCTGAAAATTTTTCTGTTTCAGAGGATCTATTCAGACACATGATTTGTTTATCTGTTTGTAAATTTGCTTCACATGTTTTGTTTAGAGTTTTAAAAAGTTTTAAAATGTTTGTTAAATCATTTATTTTGCAGGTAGCATGCTCCTTGTTCCAACTCCAGTAGGGTTTTTTTATTTCCTCTTGTGGTTCTCCATTTCTCTCACGACTCTAAGGTAGCTGGGATCACTGGTGATGGTTTTTCTGGAACATTTTCCTATGCACATTAGGGTTAATTTGCATTAGAAAATGTTCTGAAGCCTTGAGAGTGATCTAATGTAGTATGCTTATTTTACCTGTATTTAGCAAACATATCTTTAAAACAGCCAAGCTGTGCTAATATTGTATGTTGAATTGGTATCTATTCACCGCTGCTCATGAACTTAGGAAAGAAAAAAAATCCATGGAAAAATAAAGTAGTGGAACATTTTCGGTTTTGGAATTACTGGCTGGAATTAAGCTACTACTGATGCGCATGATGAGAGTGATTTTTACAGCAGCTAACTGATCTATTTGGGGGTAATTTTTTTGAGGGTGGGGAGCAGAATAGGTGTCTTATTCTTTCAAAGCTTTGCAGAGTTTTTATGTAAACTTCCTTGGGCAGTCCTTAAAGGAGATATGAGTGACTTAGTGACAGAGGGAGTCAACTGGAAAACTAAGCTGTATGAAAGGTTCCAAGATTAGCAGCTTCTTTAAGCATCAGTTTTCACAGCTGTAAGGAAAATCCTGAGAACACACCAAATCCCCATGTATAGCAACAGAGAATAACAGCCAGGAAGTATATCCGTGTTCTAAGGCTACATTTGGAAAGTGTGAGGAGGGGAAGCAGGGTGTTTGGGGGGGAGTAGAGAACGTGTATGACTATGGCATGGGAAGTGCCAACATCAAGCAACTTTAAGGAAAGGAGCAAATGTTGTTGTTGAGTCGTTTAGTCGTGTCCGACTCTTTGTGACCCCATGGACCAGAGCATGCTAGGCACTCCTGTCTTCTACTGCCTCCCGCAGCTTGGTCAAACTCATGTTAGTAGCTTTGAGAACACTGTCCAACCATCTCGTCCTCTGTCATCCCCTTTTCTTTGTGCCCTCCATCTTTCCCAACATCAGGGTCTTTTCCAGGGAGTCTTCTCTTCTCATGAGGTGGCCAAGGTATTGGAGCCTCAGCTTCAGGATCTGTCCTTCCAGTGAGCCCTCAGGGCTGATTTCCTTCAGAATGGATAGGTTTGATCTGCAGTCCATGGGACTCTCAAGAGTCTCCTCCAGCACCATAATTCAAAAGCATCAATTCTTCGGCGATCAGCCTTCTTTATGGTCCAGCTCTCACTTCCATACATCACTACTGGGAAAAACATAGCTTTAACTATACAGACCTTTGTCGGTAAGGTGATGTCTCTGCTTTTTAAGATGTTGTCTAGGTTTGTCATAATTGGGAATTGAGTACGACAAGGCTGTATATTGTCTCCCTGCTTATTCAACTTATATGCAGAATTCATCATGTGAAAGGCTGGGATGGATGAATCCCAAACCAGAATTAAGATTGCTGGAAGAAATATCAACAACCTCAGATATGCTGTCTAGGTTTGTCATTGCTTTTCTCCCCAAAAGCAGGCGTCTTTTAATTTCGTGACTGCAGTCACCATCTGCAGTGATCATGGAAACCCAAGAAAGTAAAATCTCTCACTGCCTCCATTTCTTCCCCTTCTATTTGCCAGGAGGTGATGGGACCAGTGGCCATGATCTTAGGTTTTTTGATGCTGAGCTTCATACTATATTTTGCGCTCTCCTCTTTCACCCTCATTAAAAGGTTCTTTAATTCCTCCTCACTTTCTGCCATCAAGGTTGTGTATATCACATATATTGCAAAGGAGCAAATGAATGGGGGCTAATCCAGAAAAGGAGAGCAGAAGGAAGAGCTCGCAAGGGACAGAATCTAGAAACCAGCAAAATACCAGAGGTTGAAGGAGTGGCTGAGGGGCACTTGCATATGGAAAGTTGGGTAGATAAATAATCTAGGAGTAGTATACTGTATGGAGGGGAAGGACTACACTTCCCATCATTCCTGACCATTGGTCATGCTTCCTGGGGCTGAGGCCAAACAACATCAGGAAAGCACCATGTTGGCTACCTCTAGAATAGACCTCTAGGGTCTTTCTTTTAGCTCTGGAGAAAATAATCTAGGTTAAAAACAGTAATTGATGTGAGCCAGTATGACTGTCAGTTTTTAAGCCTCTCCCCCCCACATCACTTTTGTTTTTTAACAGAAGACAAGCTTCCCCGTCTATGTACTTCTCTTTTCTAGAAATTTAGAATCAAGCAGTCACAGTTCTAGGAAGGATTAAAAGTAAACTGTATGCTCTGAAGAGTGAGCGCACACTTGATGCCCGGAACTGCCAACTTCTTATCATTCTGCAGCAAAAAGTTCCTGACGAGCTACTTTCTATGGAAGCATACCCAGTTAACAGGCCAGCCGGCCGGCCTTGCCATAATAATGTTACATCCACTTCATAATACGATTCTTTGCTCCTCATTCGTCATGCTATCAACAAATAATTCTGTGCGCTGACGGAAGATTGGCCACATACAGCTGGGTAATATATTACAGTTAATAAGATGGTTACTACCCTATTTTTAACCTGGTACAACCTCAGGACGATCGGAAATGATACACCATTAGTTAATTATAGATTAAGAGGACTGCCACAAACATGTCATCTAGTTCCTACACAATCATTTGAGACAAGAGGAAACTAAGGAGCTATTGCTTGTTTTAAGAAAACAGCAGCAGCTAGACCTTATGAAGGGCTAGGAGAGCTCATGAGCACTTTACACAGTATTCTGTCAGATGTCATCACAGTTCTACTTAGGCACAGTGGATCAATTCTATTTTGTTTTATATTTCAGGCAATAATGGTGGGCAATATGCTTTAGTTGAGATTCCTGCATAGCAGGGCTTGGACTAGATGAGCACTTCCAACTCTACAATCTTATGGTTCTAAGACAATCAGGTTTTTAGGTATAGACCTGCATCTTCCCAATGCAATTGTCCTTGTTTGGATTCAAGCATGTAGGTAGTGGTGAAGGTACAGAGAATTACGATGAAAGCAAGTGAAAATCAGTCTCAATGAAGAACCTATATGCATTGGTTGTCAAGGTAGATTATTTTTTACCACTGAGGAAAAAGCCACCACCACGCTGCAGAGGTTTATAACCACCACCAGACACAATTTTCACTGCCTGTTAAGAGCCAACTGTGCAGCAAAAACAAAAAAGGTGTGTGTGTGTGGAAAACATCCATCTATGTTGGTCAGAGAAAGCACTTACTGTCTGATACTTATTAAAGTTGCACAAAGTAAGTGCGGCTATAACTGCCTATGTTAACAGGGCTATGTAGCACAGCATGCAATTAACACCAGCTTCACATCCCACTCTCCTCACTTACAAAAGTTACGCACATCTCACATACTTGCAAGTAGCAATGTGTTTTTGCAGCCGCTAAGCCGTACATTATTCCACTTCTAAGACAAGGTTTGGTTTAATCGAAGCAGGCTGTAGCAACAGGATTTTAATTTGTATGCCCATCATTTAGCAGTGAAGTTTATGAAGGCCAGTTCCTTCCCCGAAAAGCTTACTGCACAGCTACAACAGAAATGTATTCTATGCTGGCAAGCGAAATCCTTGCCTGGATTATACATGCCACAGAATCACGACAATTTCTGACATGATGTGCTAAGCCTTCAAGCAACTGGAGTATTAACAAGTTATGTTCTATAAACTATGACAACTTGAACATGCAGGAGCTTCCTGGAGACCGATTAAATACATCAGAAGAAGCATGACACAATGTAGGTACAAGTAAGTTATTGAACAGCTGCCAAGTAATTTAAGATTTTCACAGTAAAAAGGTCATGTCCTACACCCACCCCACCTCCAAAGAACAAGAAATGAAATGAAAAACTAATTAGCACCGAACACCTCTAGGGACACAAGAAACTTATTGCAAAAAAAATTAACTAGGCCAGACCCACGATCCACCTAATTCGTTAAGATTCTGAAAGGACACTTGTTCCGGGCGCACTAGACAACCACAGACACTTAAACTTAGATAAACTCGTGTAAGATAAACACACAACACACCTGACTGTGAGGCCTGCATTTTAAATGAAATTAAAACCAACCTAGAATACAAGAAGTGGCCATGCCAGGAAATGCAAACAACTGTTTACTGCCAAATGCTGATTGTAAAAGCTGTTGTGTGTAAATGTGTAAAAACAACACAGTGAATTGGGAAATCTGTGTTAGAACAATTTCTTCCTTCCTCCTCCCCCTCCCCCTCCCCCTGAACAGTGCCTGATTTAGTGTGAGCTAGGATGGTTGGCCAGATATCAGATTTTTTTCTACAGGGCCTATTTTTACAAATTCCAAGAAGACTGCACTGGTTCAAATTAACCCCCTGACAAGTCTCCAGGTCAGCCTTCCCCAACCTGGTTCCCCCACCCTCCTCTTCCCCAATCCCTTTACCTTTTTCATAGTCTTAGTCTGCAAGCCTGAGGGCAAGAACTTATTACTGAGATTTGTAAATCATTCTGGGAGCCTTTTTTTGGCCCCGCGGGGGGATAAAAATGCTTTAGATAAATGCAGATGAAAAGGTATGAAAGTTGGAAGTAAAGTATCTTTTAAAAATATAGCTACAAGGAAAATCTTTCTGAAGCCCTAGAGCAGGTATGAGTAACCTTTGCCCCTCCAGATGTCACTAAACTACAACTCCTATCATCCATGTCAGGCATAGGCAAACTCAGCCCTACAGATGTTTTGGGACTACAACTCCTATGATCAAGTAATCAAATAATCAAGTAAACATCAAGCTCTGTGCTATTACAATAAAATGGCATTTACTCACCAAGTCACAAAACTCAAATACCAAGAGATAGGGAATGGCTTCCACACACTGCCCTGTACACTGGAGGACGTTTGGATGCTGAAGAATTCTGCAGGGAAAGAGAAACAAAGAGAGGCTCTTCAGGTCAGGCATACTCCATTTCTTTCCAGCTTTATGAGTCAAGGGGATCTCGGAAATGCCTACCCCAGCGGCATACTTCATCTTCAGTGAGCAGATGATTTCTGAAAGTGACACCCCCGCTCCCTGCTATTGGTAAATGAAAGGGACAGAACCACAAGCCTTCCATGCAGCAGCTAGGCATACATGAAGGAGGTAAGAGGCAGAGTGACAGTATTCAGAATGCTGCACCTGGACTGAAAAGATCAGAGTTCAGACTTTTGCTTCAGCTATAAAAGCTCACTGGGTAGCCTAACTTTATTCTTTCAAGCTCACTTTTTCATGTGCTCCACAATGAGCACATTATGTGCACCACAGAGGACAAGGCTATCGGTGGCCATAGTGAGAAATACGTAACGATGCATTTTCACGAAAAGCTAAGCATGCCCTCCTACTTTGCACTTCTATTGAGATGCTACTTACAAGTACGGCTCTCCATGCCTCAAAAATCGTTCTTGCTCCTTGGAACTGGCACTTGCTTTCAGCTCCTTCACAACAACTCTGGCCACACTGGAGCCTGTGTAAACCTCCCCAAGCAAAACCTGAAAAACAAGCAGCAGGTATTTGAAAACACGGAGGAAGCCATTGTGTGCACAAGTAAAATAAAAGTCACTACAAGGCATGTGAAGAAGACGGAGAAGGCCAGGAACTTGCTTATACCATTGTTGTTGTTATTATTTTCCCACCCTTCACTGTAAGGTCTCAAGTCAAACCACTGCCTCCATCAAGCCTGGGGTGACCTACTCTGACTTGCAGCAGCTCTCTCCAGGGTCTCTAAGGCCTCGACTCTTTCTTCAATAGCTCCTTTAACAGGAGACCACAAGAGCTGAACCTGGGGTTTCATGCATGCAGAGCATGGTCACCAGAGTGGACACTTATGGAAAGATTTCCTTAGATGTCCCAGATCACTATCATTTCACTGACTAAGCAGAGTGGAGACAGCTGCACACAGACTTCCAGTTCTCTGTACCCGTCTGGTACATGGGTTGCTCATACACAACACTGGGGCAGGGGGAGAAGAAAAGGGGTTCTTATGCCTCATAAGGGTCCCACCATGAATGGGTGTTGTGCACCTTTAATTGTTCTCCAACATCTTTAATTTGTTATCTAATCTGTCCTGCTACAGAAGTTGGCAAACTTTACACTCTTTGAGCTGGCAGCAAAATGTCAAGTTTCCAGAATGAAACACTGGACTTTGAGAAAAGAGAAGTCAGATTCAGGATAGTAGTGTATCTCAGGGCTACCCCATGAACTCTCCCAAAACCAGAAAAGGGGTGGGAAAAGGTAATCTCTCTCCCACTTCTTGTAAACTGTATTGCCTTTTGGTGGGATGCTTTCTCAGTATACAAGGACTGTAGACATCCTATAGTTTGAACTGTAAGTTTCTGCAGTTTAAGCACTCAAAACATTGTGAAGAGCTGAAGGGAAGCAGTAATAATATGCTAATTGCTGCAGCAAACACATTCTTTCGTGTTAAGAGTTTTGAGAAATAATGTTGCACCAGGTTCCATCAAAACCTGAATTTTGAAATTCAAATATCAACAGTGAAAGTTCTCCCCTAAAGCTGCTTACCGACACATTGGCAAGCTCGCACTCCACAATTTATTCAAGAGCTGTTCATCATAGAATCAGAAAATTAACTGGAGAAATACAACAATCAATACAGACTTCTTACCTTTCCAAACCAGCCATTTCCAATTTCTTGGATATAGTTGAGATTTTGACGGACGACTTGGGATTTCAACCCTTCTGTTACACAAAATAAGACAATACATCAACAAGTGGCCACAATCTTGTTTTTGATTGACTGCTTTTGTGCTCCCCCCCCCAAAAAAAATGCATAATAGAGTAGTTTGCTACAGTAATACGAACACGTATTTAAAACCCCAGGTGTTTTCAAACTTCCTCTTTGCATTTTACATGTGGAGAGAGCATACACTCGTTGTGGCCAAAGTTCTTGCGGACCACCTCCCTGCTCCCCATTCCCTTTCTATGGTTAGGGCCACATAGTATAGATTTACAAAGACTACTTATGTTGATAGCTATGTATATCTACATATATTTGTGCTCCCCTCCCTGTGTATTACAGGATGTCCCACTCAAAAGGAGATGGAGAAACAAATTCCCAATGCAGGAGAAACCAACCTCAGGCCATGCCCACACTTTCTCACAAATAAAGCTGGTTTCACCTTAATTCAACACCATGGGAATTACAGTCCAGCTCCACGCCTGTTTACCTATTAAAAAATCTGATAGTGTTCAATAAGTTATTCTCAAATGTGCACAAGACCATAACACAAGGTCCCAGGCAGTTTAAAAAAATTCCCTGTAGCTCTGTCAAGTCATACATTTACATTTATGCTAATAATTGAGAATAGGGTGGCACGGCCAAAAAGGATTAAACCCTGCCCTGCAGTCCATCAACTGATGTCACCAGTGATGTCAGCTGATGGGCAGGTGGGCATGGTTTGTGGAGGCCAAATTAGATCTCCTGGAAAGCCGAGAGTGGTAAGCAGGCCAGAGGTTCCTCATCCCTGCTTTAAGCCAAATAAATAAATAAATAAATAAACTGCATACAAATCCTACCCAAAGCCTCCACAAAAAATCTTATTGCTTGTTTCCTACTCCCAGTGTTGAGAGAAAGTCACTCACAAAACCATCCAAGTAAAATACACGTTTAGAAAGTTTAGATTTTTTTATGTTCAGATTTCCCAAATGGTAGCAAAATGAAAGCTATTTTTATCAAGTCTTCACTGTTCCCATTTAATATATTTTTAGAAGTAAGATTACGAAAGATCATCCTACCGGAATAGCATTCTGTGGGTGACTGATAAAAGGGGAAAAGGCAGAGGGGAGGAACATCTAAAGAAGGCATGGAAAGCAGGAAAATACATAATAGGCAATACCATGCTATAAAAAAAAACCCCAGTTATGTCAGAAGAAATAGAATCCTTACACTCTATCATGTATAGAGCATTATAGTTAAGAGACTGAACTGTGAGCTGTGCAAGTCTTTCCTTAGCCAGCAAGTCACACTCTCAGCCTCATGTGGCTAGCTCACCAGCTGTCAGAGGATAAAAGCATCCCCCCTTTGAAATATGTACATTTTGCTTTGGCTCAGCTATCAATACTACAGCAAAGCTTCAGTCACAAGACAGAGAATCAATACTGGCCATTGACCAAGGATCAGAAACTAGTCCTGGGGTGGAGGGGATGGGGTAGGGAAATGCCATACCTGTAGGAAGCTGGAACTGTGATGGAGCTGGTAAAGAAACAGTGGGAACTGTAAGTGTGAACACTTCGGCTGGGGACTGGACAGATGGGGTGTCTTCCGCAGGTGGTGTAAAGTCTATTTCATCATCAAAATTATCTTCAAATTCCTACAGAAGTAACGAGGCCAGAAGAACAAGGAGAAGTTGCCTGATTCAGAAACGTAAACCAGCACAGTATTTATTCCATGTCCCTGATGTGACCCATAATATTGGTTGAAACAATACTTGAGTTATCACACTTAAGTTACCTGCCCCAACAACATTTTCAGCAGCAAAGTGACAGCCCTCATTGTTGTGAAAAGGATCATTAACTCTAGGCTTGCCATACGTCGGGAAAATTCCTGACATGTCCTGGTTTTGGGGTGTATAAAGAGTGTTGGGGGGGGGGGATTTTGCCGAATTGTCAGGGAATACCCGGATGAATGGCAAAACGATGGGAAAAGCAGTGGAAACAGCTCTAAAACAGCACAACAATTTTGGGGTCTTCCTAAAAAAAGCTCAACAAATTTACTTTTCGAAATATGGCAACCCTAATTAACTCTCGTGGTTGTTTCACAGGTCATGGCCTTTACATATTTTAATTAAAAAGGTGAAGAAGCTGAGAAACATTAAAGCAGTTTTGGGAAAAAGAAATCAAGTTGTAATCAGGTCACAAAGATGTAAAGTACAGTTCAGCATAGCATAAAAATATATTTATACTGAAGTTTATCAGAACGGAGGGCATGTTTACACATTAAGCTGTACATGGGATAACGGCCAAAAATTCTTTGAATCATAAGTTAAGATCTGTTAGTTGCATGGACGTAACACTATAACTACAGAAGAAGCTCACACAACCTATGACCTTGCTGTGAAATTTTAAGGGCAAAGCAAGAAATAACTAGAGCAACATTGTTTTCCTAATACTTTGTAATTGGTCTTGGTCTAGAAAGAGCAACTGCTGGTCTATACTCCAAGGAACCTATTTTTGACCATCTTTCAGCCATGTAAAGCAGCCCACGAGTGAATTATGAGATCATCTTGTTTTATTGAATTGCTGTTTATTGCTGTATTTTGTGCCAATATAATGCACACTATTTAAATAAATAAATGAAAATTGTTAACTGAAAAAGTAATACAACTTGGAAAATATACTTTAAAAGCTTTGGTGAACACTTCGAGCTGAGCCATAAGCAAGCTTCATTCCTCCATGGAAGCAGACACATGGAAAACTGGGAACAAATGACAAATCCATGTGCATTTATAAAACTAAGATCTGAAAATGGAACCAGGATCCAGGCCCAGTGTGATTTTTAATTGTCTCTTAACAGAAGTAACTCTGCTATTGTTTCTCAATCGCTCAATATCTTTTTGCCATTCTTGCTTTTGACTTTCAGGTGTCTCTTGAAGATTTTTTTATGCTGACAAGCACACACAGCTCTTTAAACTTCCGATCAGCCAGGCATTTTAATGATTTTGCACTGTTTTTAACAGTGTTTTCTGTTTGTGTGTACATATACTGCTGTGTATTTTATAAGATGGCTATATATTGTAGGTAGGTAGATAACAAAAATGGAAGTCCAGAATGAGTCACACTGGGGTGTGTGTTTTTTACATTTTGGATCCTGCCTATGTCTTTCCTAAAAATCCATGTGAATTTTCTGCTAAGCTTTCCACCTGTATCCCTCCTAAGAGAAAAAACTTACAGATCAGAGTATTTCTTTTGTATTTCTGTGAGCCTATTACAGATTCTCTAGTATAGCTTTCCTCCTACACAGGAAGTGTCAGCTTTCACTGCGGTTTAGCTACTTTAGTGTAGCTGGAAGTGAAGGGGAATACCACAGGGATAGTTTAACATCCAAGGTACAAAACCCCCAACCCACTAATAAAGAGATTCTTTCAAGCTCAGCATCCAAGCCCTGTTTAGCTAGGTAGCTCTGGAGAACAATATCCTGTTTGTCTCATTCTTTACATTCCAAAACCCCAAAACAATTCATACCTTGAAGTTTCCATCCTCCGGCTATGAATCTAACCTCACTGAATACCTATCTGAAATAGGCATTGTATGAAGATGTCACAAATAGTCTCACAGATATTACAGAGACTATTTTCTTAATTGAATCCCCATGACTCTTGCGCATTGTTGCTTATTTAAAAAAAAACAATAACATAACTTCCTCGAAGAGGGGTATTTTTCATCTATTTCAAGGCCAAATTTCCCAGCTTAGAAAGAAAGAACAAGTTACAGTGGTACCTCGAGTTACAAACGCTTCAGGTTACAGTGGTACCTCGGGTTAAGTACTTAGTTTGTTCTGGAGGTCCGTTCTTAACCTGAAACTGTTCTTAACCTGAAGCACCACTTTAGCTAATGGGGCCTCCTGCTGCCACTGCACCGCCAGAGCACGATTTCTGTTCTCATCCTGAAGCAAAGTTCTTAACCTGAGGTAATATTTCTGGGTTAGCAGAGTCTGTAACCTGAAGTGTATGTAACCTGAAGCGTATGTAACCCGAGGCACCACTGTACAAACTCCACGAACCTGGAAGAGTTACCTGGAGTTGAGAACTTTGCCCCAGGATGAGAATGGAAATTGTGTGCCGGCGGCGCAGCAGCAGCAAGAGGTCCCATTAGCAAAGGAACGCCTCTAGCTAAGAACAGTTTCAGGTTAAGAACGGACCTCCGGAACGAATTAAGTTCATAACTGGAGGTCCCACTGTACTTAGACATTTGGAGAACTACACATTTATGTGTGGCTTCTGTGGCCGTTTGGTACTGTCAGTTTGGCTCAGCATGGGCTGGCAAGACCCTTGCCTTAAAAAAGTTTCCCCATTTACTTGATTGCTCCAAAGCAGGCAGAAAAGCCCATCCCCTGCATGTTCATACTTAAGTGCTCTGAAAATATGTTAAGTGCAAGAAGGCAAGTAATCAAACAGAATAAGTTACTCAGGAAGCAGTCCCAACTGCACAGCAACAGTAGGTCATCTAAGCAGACTTGAGAGCTACTTGTGACACCTCAAACTCCATTGATTTTGACTGACCACAGTAATGTTTGGCATTGCACAGTACAATTATATACGTGTGTTATCAGATTCCAGTACTAAAGGGATACAAATAATTATCTCCTGTACTCACCTTGAAGTTTATCTCTTGATCTTTACAACAGGATACACAGTTCACAAGCAGAAGTACCAAGCCTAAAAGGCTGCAGGCAGAAATAATCACCAACGCGAAGGGAACTTCAGTCACTGCTGCTTCCCCTAGAAAACAAAGGGTTGAAATAAGCATGGTGTCATATATTGGAACACAAACATGTTAACTATAGAAGAGAAATTTCAGAACAGTTATACAGTTCTGCAGTAAGGCCGATAACATTTGTGATGTACGAGTTATATTTTTCTGGTTTTATGGATATTGATTTTATGGAAATTTCTAGACTTAGGGGCTCCAAAAATAGGTATTCTCTCTCTCTTTGCCTTTACCTTTTCACAAAACTATCATGCATTCTCAGGATTTTAAACACTGTTGAAACATCTATCATTTAGAAAGCTTGAACTTAAGAAATAAAATAAAAGCCAAATACTTCGCCATGGCACTTTGATAGTCTCAAGTAAACTATGCTGATTTCATTGGAATGTGCTGGTTCTGCAATACTGGCAGTGTATTTTAACACGTTTCACCTTCAGCTATCATATAGGGTTACCCAGTTGTCAACAAGTCAAAATTAAATAGAAAAGCATACAAGGCCCTGTATTGGCAAAACAAGTCTGCCATGTATTAAGATAGCATTACATAAGAGATAACATGCACATACAATCCACAGCCATACGAGTTGTCATTGAATGTAGACATCAAATATGCTGAATTCCTTACTTGCTGGGTATAAATACACGTTAAACACATTCACTCACATCTTTTCCTCTCGTGGAGGAAGCTAACCTGGTATTAAAGCTCTTATTGATTAATTGATGAAGGTAGTGCAATTAAAGCTTGAAGCCCTCCTGTATCAAATAAAGTTCAGAATGTACATACAAAGGTAAAAGATTACCATTGCTCTTCAGCCAAGAAAGGGTCCCACAGTGGCTGACAAATCTCAGTAACAAGACGGTCCCTGCCCTCAGGTTCACAATCTAAAAGCCAAGGCACTAACACTTAATTAACCAATACTTAGTTAAGATACTTCAACAAGCTGGAAAGGCAACCACCAAGTCTTCATTTCAAATTATAAAATGAGTCTGAACTTGTTTTATCACATTTGACATGGGAACCAATAGCAAGTATTGGTTCCCATGTAGGAATAACTTTCTTCATGGAATGGTATACATATATCAGAAACGTTTTTTGATGAAAGACACTCTGGAATAAAGTATTTCTGTCTTTACTTGCATTTATCCTAACACTTCAACTTATTCTTAGAAAGATCCCGCAACTGCTCTAAATTTCAAGTTGCAGCAAAGTCTGAGCAACTAGTTTTTTGAGGAAGTTGGTACATATTTCTGCAGCTTTTAGTGGAAGGGGGAGAGACAACTAGAACAGAACATTGTTTTAATACAAGATCAGTTCAGCTATGAGAAGAGTCACATTAACTTACAATCAGGATTTTTCAAAGACAAAGCCCCCGAGATTTTGTAAAATATGTGAAGTGAGATGACAGACTTGCCATTCTAAACCAACAAGCCAACCCTAAAAGATCAAAGAGTACATCTATCTTTAAACCTCATTTCACTTGAAGACATCCTTGCCTGCAGAAACTACATGGAAACATGCTTGCACAAGTATGTATCATATTTTACTAACCATCTGAAGACAGGTTATGAATATACATGTATAACATGCCAAACCTAGCTGATCTAACAGCAGGTAGGCAAGATATAACCACAGAAAACAACTAATGCATAAACCAAGCTCTGGGAAATACATTAGGGATAACTGAACCACAGTTAACTAAATACCACTGGGTGGTGGTGATAGGGGATGAGTCTTCATTCTGTTATCAGCAGATCTCATATTTTTTTCAGCACTTTCAAACACTTTTACCTCCTATAGCAATTGTTCAACTGTCATCTGGATGGTATTATTTTCGTTGCAATGTGGCAACCATAGTTGGGTTTCAGCGTATGTGCAGAAGCGCGTCCATGCGCCTCTGGACTTTAGACCCAGTTACGGTCCTGTATACAAAACGATTCAGACAGGCAGTTACCAAAATTTGCATTCCACAAACCAGAACCTGAGATGCGATTTAAGGACTATTCAGTGCTGGAAGATGTGGAAAGCTCTCGTGGAGTAAGAAAGATAACTGCAGGGATGAACAGACTAGATTCTCTCACCAGTCCATGAACAAAGTTGCCACCCTAGCAAGTATGTCCCAGTATCTTCAAAAATAACATCATCTACTGCAAATAGAGCTGAGTACATGCTAATTTGTTTTTACAGTCTGAACTCCAACTGCTTGATTCACCTAAAACACACAAGAAGTAGGTTTAACCTAACAAACAGGCTTGTCAACAAAGTCAGGTGGCTCAGCAGTATCAGTTACCTCTTTGACCATGGTCAAATATTCTCTCAAATATCGTTGCACATTACATCAGGGTTGCTCTGATGAGAAGCTAAACTGCAACACCTATCAGCTAAAAGGCACAACTTCTATATGCAATATAGCTCTATAACTCAATTAGTAAAGTAATATCAAAATTACTTAATGAGTTTCACAGTTGACTAGTTTTGAGCTTCACAGTCCCAAGCTGTCTGGGAACAGGATATTTCAAGAACTGTCAACTCTTGTGTAAACCTGCCCAGTTACTAAGATCAAAGGTCCAACCAAGTTACTGCCCCTTTTGAGAGGTGATGGGTGGCTACCTGGGTGGTCCCTCAGCTATTCACTACCAGTTCCCCTGAAGTTCTTTAGGCCAAAAGAACGTCTTGTTTTCCTGGGCTTTGAAGGGTTTTTAGAATGACATTTTGTTGCTTTCAGTAAGGCTACTATGCCAATGAACCAACACAGCTTCCTACAACTCTTGGGTGGCATCAGCCTCATGTGAATAAGCATCCACTTGCATGAGTCTTCTTCATTCTCTTCTCATCCCTTCTCCAATCCCCCACAAAAGATTCTGGGTGTGCAGAGCAGGGCAGACACCACTGGATATCTCCCTTTGCTGTTTAATACCTAACTGCTCAAATGCCAATAAATATTTCTGGAAAACATGAGGCACCTAGGTAACACAGAGTACCATGGGCATCTCACCATCACCCCCTAGTCTCAGTGTCTTCTTCATTAGACATTAAAATTAGGTCTATATATTTCTATTGAAAATCTGTGATGTATTTCTTCCCCATCATTGGCAATGACTGGAACACATTAAATAGTTATAATTAAAAATAGAAAAAGGGAAGATAATTAAAGGCAACAGTTCCAAAATAAGAAAGGCATTATAATTTTCTTAAGTCAGTAAGATAGACTTCAGGATAATTTTGAGTTAATGAGGGCAGACATGAATATGAAGTTTTAATTTAAATCTAAGGAGTTGTATCCAGCTAACATTTACTCTCAGTAAAACCACTGAAGTTACTACATCCAAATTAGTAATAATGCACATTAATTTCAATTAGTGCCACTTAGAGTAGATGTTGGATAGAACCCAGGATCTGTATTTTAACACAAGAGGCTTGTCAACAGGCACTTGTCAACAGAAAAGGAAGTGAAGAGGCACCAGGATCTTTGCTAAACTGTGCATGTTTTCTCTCACATGCCATCATCATGTCACAGTAGTCAAACATTTCTATACATAGGCAAGCAGGAATAAAAACTGAATGTGGGCTACTGACATTTCTGGATTTACTTGCAAGTGTAGATTACAACCAAATCTACTAATTTGCTTACTAATATAAATTCATTAGAAAATGGTTCTATAATGAGGAGTTACATGCACTAATAGAGTATTATACCAGACAACATAGAAGAGTGTAGCACAGTCCGGGTACACAGAGGTTGCCAGCTCAATGTGACAGAGCAATCCTATGAATGTTTAGTCAGAAGTAAGCCACACGCTCACTGAAGTTTACGCCATCATAAATGCGTTTATGATTGCAGCCTGAGTCAACCATTTTACTGGATTTAGTAAACCAATTACATCACACAGCTGGGTCTAAAACAACCTTGTCAGAAACCTGCTGTGAAGCTAATGCAAAGCACAGACTAATTCAATCTACTTTGGCAATTAGGCCAACTCTTTGGCTGAATGTAGATATCACACCAGGCCACTGCTTCTGTTACACATAATTTAGAACCCCAACCATGGGTTGAGTGTCCAAACATACAACAAGAAAGTTATGGTTCCAATCTGTCATGTCCACTTTATCCTCCATCATCTGAGCAGGACTCAGGTTTCTAAATTCATTCCCACCTGAACGGCACTGCAGCCTCCAAAAGCAGGCAGTAACTCTTATTTTGTCACATCAAGCGATGATTAACATACAACAGTTAGTTATCTGAACTTGAGTTCAAGAGCTTCTGCATCGGCACTAACTTCAGCTTCCAAATGACTATCCAGCTGGCAATGTCTATAAAGAAGCAAATTCAAAGCAGCACATGCAGGAACTTTCACTTGAAATAGTGCCATGCTTTGGATACAACCAAGTCACTTTATTATTATATACATAGCTAATATAAACACTGTAATATCTTCAGGGGTAGTTAAGAATTTAGATAACAAAAGTACCATATTTTTCTGTCTATAGGACGCCCCCATGTATAAGACACTCCCTATTTTTGGGGACTCAGATTTAAGAAAATTGGGGGAAATGGCCCAGAGTATAAGATGTCCCCTAATTTTTGACATTATTTTTTAGGAAAAAACCCTAGTCTTATACACGAAAAAAAAAATATTTTAAAATCTTTAACCACAAGCAGCCACAACAGCAGCTATGAAAGCCACAGAAGAGTTGCAGCTCATTTTCACTTCGGTTTTCCTAGTTCCTGTGAACAGAACATGAGGATCAGAAGAAGCAGGTCAATCCCACCCCCACTCCATATACTGAACCTTTAAAAATGTATCAGCAACAGCACAATCAAGGACAGAATGGGGCAGGGAGCAATACAGGTAAGAAGCAGAAATCTGACCTGCGACATAGCTAGAAAAATGCAGAGCTATAAAGCTAGAGAAATGCAGAGCTGTAACATAGCAGGCAAGCCTTCATTATTGTAACTTGCAAAAATGTAAGTTACCAGGCAAAAGGAATGGCCTGCACCTCCCACAGGTCCTACAAAACAACCCATATATCCCTCTCTCATCTTGACTTTCCCCCTTTAAATTCTATACAAATCCAGATACTAACTCATGCAACTTAAAGGATTTATGCAAAATGGTATATAACTTGCTCCTAGTTTTGTGGCACAGAGTATACCCAGCCTTGACTACAATGAACACTAGACCAACTTAAAAGCCCTTGAAAATGGTCACAAGGATTTGGGGAGCTGCTAGCCCCTGCCAGAACTGCTTGCCTTGCTGAACAGACTGCTTGGCAGAGAATAGAAAAGCAATTTGCCAAGCCAGACACCCCCATTAAGGTGTTAATTTGATTTGTAACATGCCCTATCACCCAGGCTTGGAGTTAATTTCTTTTTTAAGCATCCACAAAACTACCGTACATTTATTGAAACATGACTCTCATGCTACCCTATTCCCAGTTTATAGAACATGCTCAGAGTTTCCCTGCATTATCAGGTTGATGCAGAGCTGGTAAACCAAAGACGTATTCTGCATTAACAGCAAGGTAACAATGCATCTTTTACACCTACAGATAAAAATACCTTCACACTGTTCAGAAAGAACAAAATGAACTCTTTAAATACAGAAGTGGGAATATTACTGCCTAGAAAATTAAAGGTTACTTCAATTTCCACAATAAGTTTTCAGCATGGCCATTTGGTAAAGCAGAACATCTGGAGAGATGTGTACACGGAAACATACTGGGAAATTATAGCCAACCATGACACCCTAGCACATTGCCACCCTTGTTTATAAATGCATATGGTTCTCTTAACATTGCAATAATCACCAAGCAATGCACAGCAGTTCTTGACAGTAGCAGAAATAAAGCAACTCCACTGCAGCAGTACATTTTACACATTTGACTTTGTGCAACGGAAAATAAATTTATTGTTGGTTTGGAGGCCGGAGAAGGGGCTTCAAATCCGTTTTCACCTATGCTGCTGAGCGAAATGTCAAATCCTTTGTAAACTAAAAAGACCTGCATAGATGACAGAATGTGGGGGATTTTCAAAATTATACTTTGTATGTGAACATTTTCAGCAAAAGGAAAATTAAGTGATTATGTTAGTGCCACAGATTAGGGTTGGGAACCTTAAATGCTCACCAGCCTAACTGTTTGTAACTGATCATATATGAACCTGTGAGAAAAGTTGGGGGGCACTTTCATACAAGTTCTTATAAGGAGAGAGGGGGAGTCAGACTGGACCCCGACCAAAGGCCTGGCAGAACAGCTCCATCTTGCAGATCCTGCAGAAAGATGTCAGATCCTGCAGGGCCCTGGTCTCTTGTAGCAGAGCATTCCACCATGTCAGGGCCACGGCCGAAAAGGCCTTGGCTCTGGTCGAGGCCTGTCTAATCTCCTTGAGGCTCGGGACCTCCAAGATGTTATTATTTGCAGACCATAAGGTCCTCCGTGGGGCATACCAGGAGAGGCGGTCCCGTAGGTATAATAAAATATTTTGGTTGTTTACTGAGTGGGGAGCAATTAATGCCCCAACCACCAGATAGCTCTAACATTTACCCCAGCAGCTATATAGACTCAGTTCAGAAGCTGCAGAAACATGTCTTCTGCTCATATGCTCCCCCTTCCCTTATTTCATGTACTATGGAAGGAGACTCAAATCTCCTCACTTTGAATTTACCACAATTCCCCTGGATGTCCAAATGCAGGAAATGGTAGATTGTGTACACTGTAAACTTTTCACCACAGTGTGAGACTAAGCCAGGATCTGAAACTAAGGACTGATTCTGACTTGTTTCACTAAGCATAGTTTAAGTCACTGTTACCCAGGGTTTTGACATCTCAGAAAATGGTGACTAGTTCAAAAGCAGCACACAAAAGACAAGGAGGTGCAAGTGCGTTGGTCCAAGGCTCACATAGGCTTGCCTAAGTTGAAGGAAATCGTGGTTTCTTAGAACTGGGCTGCAATGTTACCAATATTACTTGCTCAATGACAGTCACAGAAAAACTTGAGCTGTGGATACACCTAATTTTAAAGCTGTACATGAACTATAGACAGACACCACTACCTTTAAGATGAACTAAGGGTGCCCTCCTAATTAATCAACACCTGTATGTCATGACTGAACATGTGGGACCCCCAGTAGCTATGTAACAAATGTGGAAGTTCCTTTCTAATTCAAGTGTGAATATCTTCCAGCAACACTGCAAGACAGGGTTAGGGAATCCAGCAGCCCTCCAGATGCTGGGACCACAACTCCTAGCAGCACCATCCAGCATGGCCATTGGTTAGGTTTGATGAGAGGTGTTGTCCAGCAGGACTTAAGAGGGCCGGAGGCTCCCGACCCCTGATATAAGACTTACCCTGCTTGGTCTGGCTTTTAACAGCCACAACCAAGTCATTTTAACGAGGTTTTAATATTTCATATTGTAAATAGAATACTTTAATGCCTTCATGCTTTTGGTTTTAAAGCTTATTGTTGGAATGGGGAAATATAATTCAAATTGGCAGAAGTCTTGAAAAAGAAAACATGAGAGACAATTCTGAGCCATTAAGTCTATGCTGTAGCATGAGGTATATGTACACAGGAGAAAAATACTACGCTTAAAGGATGCAGTCCAATAGAAGTGGCAGAGAAGATATGCAAAAGAACTGCAGCAGCATGAAATGGAACACTCAGGATGAAACGGTGAAATCTGCTATGATTAAATGGGCACAAGATGTTGGACACAATATTATGTTCGCTGACTGGGAACAGTTATGGACCACAGGTATGAAGTTTACGGCATGCAATGCCTTAAGAGAGAATATTATGAAAATGATATGCAGGTGGTACATAACCCCAGTTAAGCTTGCAAAAATCTACCATTTGCCTGATAATAAATGTTGGAAATGTAAAGAAACTGAAGGTACATTTTTTCACCTTTGGTGGACGTGCCCAAAGATTAAGGCTTTCTGGGAGATGATATATAATGAATTAAAAAGGTATTTAAATATACCTCCTTGAAGAAACCAGAGGCCTTTCTCCTGGGCATAGTCGGCCCACCGGTGTTAAAAAGGATAGAACTTTCTTTATGTATGCCACAACAGCAGCAAGAATACTCATCGCAAAGTATTGGAAGACACAAGAGCTACCCACACTGGAGGAATGGCAGATGAAATTGATGGACTATATGGAATTGGCGGAAATGACTGGCAGAATCCGTGACCAGGGAGAAGAGTCGGTGGAAGAAGATTGGAAGAAATTCAAAGATTACTTACAGAAATATTGCAAAATTAATGAATGTTAGAGTGATGTTGGATTGAAATTAAGTGGCTTCTAGCTGTACAGGCTTTAAAATTATATATAGATCAAGATTAAGGATTAGGATTAAAAAGGCTGAAAGAATGGAAAATTGGTTTTTAATAGGTAAAAATCTAATGTTATATTATATTAAGATTAAGGATTGGGATTAAAAAGGAGGGAAAGGAATTGCTGGACAAACAAACTGAATTGGAATACAAAAGAGGGAGGTATGAGGAGGTCCGAGAAACAAGTAAATGTAAAAGTAGTGATGAAAAGATGGAATTGTTTTTAACTGCTTTTATTCGTTTTTCTTTTTGTATTCTGTATTCTGTATTGTGTATTTTTCTTTTTCTTTTTAAATTCTTTTTTTATTAATGTGATTCTTTTCATGTGAAACTTTAATAAATATCATTAAAAAAAAAAAAGAAGAACTGCAGCAGCAGAGGAACAAAAGATTATACTAACAGTAAGCAGGAAAGGACTCTGCACCGTACAATGTGTGCCAGGCCCAAAATTAAAGTCACAGTATGGAAAGAACACTGCATGCCTCTCAAACTCAGCAGGTTACAGCAGTTATGTATGACTAAAATCTGGGAAGAAGCCATCCAAATCATCAAGGCCTGTAACACAGAGATTAGGGATAACTTTTATTTTAGCATGACATAAATGTGATGTTTGAGAGACCATGAACACATGATCAGCACACATGATGCTGTTCCTTAGACAACAGAGCAACTCTGAGTGCATAAGTGAGTTCAGCTGAGAAAGTAATACCTGGGAAAGAAATAATGATGATTACTGCTTCTGGACATATATTCCCTTTCTTACAAAACACAGCATCCTACCAGCTGAAGTTTACATTACTTTGTGTCCAGCCACACCACATTCCCATTTTGTAAGGCAGTAGCTGCCAAAGTAGTGTTTTCCAGGTATTGCTGACCATTCTGGCTGGGGCTTGATGGGAGCTGGGGCCCAACAACACTGGGAGAGCACCATGTTAGCTACCTGCACTGTAAAAGAAGCCTGTGCACAGCTATTCCATTGATTCTTCATCTATGTAATCATATACTTCAGTGATAGAGCACAAGCTTTGCATGTGAAGCTGTTGGTTAGAGCATGTTCTGATAATTCCAAGGTTACAGGTTCGATTCCCGTATGGGACAGCTGCATATTCCTGCATTGCAGGGATGATCCAACTCTACAATTCTATGATTCTATGAGTTCCAGGTTAGATTCCCAACACCTCAAGGTAGGACAGGTAAAGAATCCTATGTGAACTCCTGGAGATCCACACCAACCAATGAACAATATAGAGCTAGGTGGGCAAACGTCTGACTATAAACAGTACAACTTTTTTCACTCTTAGCACTTCCATGATGAGATTCAAACCTGCCTAGAAGTCTTACATTTGATCTGAAGGCTCTGCCTCCTAATTCAGATGTTTGCTGTGCTTTTTCGGTAAAGCATTCTGCGCAAGCTTAGTGGCAGTACTGCTACTTCACCTATTCCTTCCTTGTATTTCCACAGTTCTTCACAGCAATTCTACCACCTGTGCTCTCCATAACCACACCCTCCTGGGAACACTCTCAGGATCATTTCCCCTTAATAAAACATGGGGGAGTCCCATGCCCAACACATTTTTTAAAAAAGTATTTCCTACAGTGCAGACACCCTCCCCACCACCATTTGGTTTTAACACAGCTCTTCTTATTTCTATTCCACATTACAGAATATATATGCACACACAGAAGGCTCAAAGGTGATTTTCTGTGTCATGTGAAAGTGCCCTTTGACCACCTGGTAGCAGAATGGACTTTCCCTAGCATTTGGAATTGAGAATGTAGTTCACTTCAGTGACTGCAGGCACTATTTCTAGTGGACCAGATAAAAAGGAGAACAAGGCTTCTCTGCCTGTAATAGTGGCATACCAGAGGGAAGTTCAAGAGGTACAACTTCACATACAACAAGCTAAACCAGCTGAGGAAACTGCCAAACAGAAGTAAGAGAAACTATACCTGCTGAAAATCCCTCAATTAAATATCTATTAAAGGGTCTGGGGCATTGTTCTCCCTCGCATCTGATCACCATAGCACCGAACCAGGAGAGAGGCAATTCTTACAGCTTAAATTACTCAAGTGTGACACAGTTAGCATTTGTAAACCAGCAGCTCAGTTCAATGCATGTATACTTGGAAGCAAGGCCCACTGTGTTAAATAAGGCTTACTCCCACTTCCCAATTATGTCTGCATAGAATTGTAGTTTTATCGTAGGCAGTGGTGGTTGGTGTCATTGGAGCCAGTAGGAGTGAAGGCAGGGAGCCTGAATAGTAGGTGGGACTAAAACCCGTGACAGGCAGAGCCAACTAATGCTACTTTTGTCCCCCACCTCTTTTCTGAGTTCTACAAGGGAACACTGAAACTAAGGAGGATGACGTTTTCAGTAAAGGCCCCTCTGTGTAAGTAAGAAGGCAGGCAGGTAGGGGCTGGCTGACAGTAAACTGGGGTTGGTGGGGCAGTGCCCAATTTTCCCTAAAAGACTAGTGTCCACAGAGTTAAGGGGAAATTTGTTAGAAGGAAATTATACTTTAAAACTGAAATACATTTCTCAGGCAACAAACAAGTAGCAGCTCAGCTTTGTCAGTTTCAAGGTAACTGCACTTCCTGTTTCCTTGTGGACACAAGAGGCTCCAAGTGAAAGCTACCGCCCTGCCACCGAGCTTCATGCTTCCCTTCTCTCTTGCCTACACAGAAACCCCTGAAACACATCTGGGTGCTGCTAATCTCAAACTGATAGATACCCCTCCTGTCTAGCAGAGTGAATAGCTGCTGTTGACCTGTGGTCACATTTTTTACACCAATAAAATGTTTCGTGCCTGTGTTGCATTCTTTCTCCATAATCTTCATTCCAAAAACCTCGATGTAAGCGTGGAATGACTTTTGCTGGAAGCAACAACAACAAAAAAAGATCCAATAGCTTGGGGAAAACTGTAGGGGAAATGCCATACATACTTGCAGAAATGTATATTTAATTTCAACTGTGTTTCAGACTAAGTATAATGTCCAAGATATACAGCTATAGACATGACAGAAGATTACTCTGTCAAAAGGGCAAAACAGATCCAACTGCCTTACTTATCTGTAAAGCAGTTCTTCCCCTTGGAGAGACTGACATTTGAAACACCTCTGGAAATTATTTCTTTACAATGTGTAATTTCACTGAAGAAGATCTATCCATGAGATGTGGCAATGGCCAGTGGCTGCTCCGGAGGATAGTTTTAAAATGGCTTTTGAAAGATTAGATAAATCCATGAAGGATAGGTCTATCAGCAGGTTCAGAGGTAATATGGCACTAAATGACGGTTGCAGGGAACAAACAGTGAGGGAGGGATTGTGTCTTTATGCCCACCTTGTGGGCTTTATTTGAAGGATTAAAAGGACCCTTGGTCTGAGCCATTATAGCTCATCTTCAACTACGCTATTAGACACATTATGTATACAGTCAGAATGAGCACAGGGAAATTTTGCCCAACAAAAGAGAAATCTTTATGTATATGAAAAAGGAAATTGATCCTGGTCATCTATGAATACTGGCGGTCACATATATGGGAATTTCTTACATACATGATGGGCAAAAAGCCTTATTGCACCTGTAAAAGATTTATTGCAGCAGTTTTCATGAACTTTCACTCCAGAGGCATGGTTGTCTGTTATTTATATACCAAACACAAGGGTACAAGAGAAAATGTAAATGAGGCCATACAACCATAAAATGCAAGAGGCATATTAGGTCTGTGAAACTTCTACACAAGATCTAAGTTTGCATATGAAATAAGAACTGTGGTCATTCTTAACAGTAACAGCTGACAACAAAGCCTTCCTTTTACCTCATTTTTTCTTTATGCCTGTGTGCAACTGCAATTGTGAGAGATACGGAAGTGTGTACAGAGACAGAGACATAGCATTTCCAACATTCTTCTCTCCCCCCCTGTTTCCCTATTGCGAAGCAGGGACTTATGCACATCATCTATGTATAAACGATGATACTGAGGTATAATAATAATGTTATATGGTACAATATCATGAGGTATAAACATTAATAAGTAATGACATACACAGTGCCATTATAAGTGTTAGACTAGGCCTGAGAAGACACACAAGTTTCCATTCAGTCACAACAGTCACTGCCAGTGCTACCAAGGCAAGATTGGGGGCAGAAGTGAGAAGGGCCCCCCAACGCAAGAGGGGTAGGCTACCTTATCCTGAAATGACTGAAGTAATGCAATACCATCTAAAGAGGGACACACACCCCTTCCCAATAGGGCCATCAGCTCCAGAGTTTAAAACTGCCTAACTGTGTCAGGTAACCTTGGACCAGCCTAGCCTATCTCTGTTAAGATAAAATTGAAGAGGAAAGAGAAGACCAGCATGTCGGCTGCCCTGAGCTCCTTAATGGCAGGAGAAAGAGGATAAATATATAAAACACACACACAGCTACAAGGCCTCCAGGCCACCAAAAAGGAAAGAAAAATTTGCTACTAACAATTAGCATTTAAAGTGCCACCAGGCATCCCACCCCATCACATCCACAATCACCTGGGTTTCATCTTATGATGTATCAGTTTTAACACAGAGAGAACTGGAGCCAGATTCAGTTGGACTTAAAGGCTGGCTTAGCCCCATTGTTTTCAGTGGGGCAGCAGCTTAACAGCTGAATCCTCACTGATGTCAGTGGGTCTACCCTAAAACTGAGTGAGGTTGGGGGGCAGCCCAGAGGCTGTCTCCCCACCCCCTTACCTTTCCTATGTTCCTTCTTGCCTTTAGCAGCTCAAGCCCCACGGACAGCAATTGGCCTACTTTAAATATGGGGGGCGTCTGGGCCCAACCGTAAAGGTTGCCCCCGCTGAACTGAAGGCTTTAAGTAACGTCAGTTGGTCTTCCCCAAACATGGGCCCAACCCAGAGGGGTCGCCTGTCTCCCTTCCTCTGCTTCTCTCCTGGCCTGCCACTGAGTTCCATAGGTCTGCACCTTGAACAGGATCCGACCCCCTCGCCCGCTTCCCGGGTCTCTCTCTCACCTGCTTGCGGAAGAGGAGCCGCCTCGCCGCCTCCCAGCAACGCCGACAGGAAGCAGCAGAAGAAGAGGCCGAGCCAGGGGGGCAGAGGCCGGCCCAGCCGCCCGCTGGCCCCCCGGAACCGCCGCCGGCGCCTGCCCCGCATCGCGCCCTCAGCGCCGCCCGCCGCCAGGCCTGCCGGCGCCCTCCGCGTCTCCCCTCAGCCCTCGCGGCAAGGCCGTCCCCGGCATCGGTTCCCGCCGAAACAGCGATAAAGAAGCGGAAGCAGGAGCAGGAGGGGGGAAATGTTCCCGCTCGCCTCACGCAGCCCAGCCGTCCGCACCGGCGACAGCAGCGGCGACAGCGCCTCTCGCCGCCGCCATCTTCCGGGCTACCTGAGAGGGCGGGGCGGGGCGCCGGAGGAGATTGGCACGCCTCTGCGCCAACCGGCGCCAGGTCCGCTCCAGAGGAGGAGGCGGCGATGACGGGGTCGACTCGAGCCGGCTCGATGGGCTCGGCCAATCGGATTCGCAGTAGTCAAAGGGCGGGCTTGTTCCGGAATTGGCAGGCGGAGCGACCAATGAAGCCTCTCCTTTACATTTATCTTAAAAAAATATATCGGCGAAGGTGTGCTGCATCGTGTGTTATATGCCGAGGACGTTAGTTCCGTGATTGGCAGCCAGTTCCGCCAATCGTGGCGACTGCAGGGATGGGGTGGGTCTTGAGAGAGGAGATGGAGCTGCCACAGCGATGATTTGCTAAAAAAATAAAATAAAAGGGTGCTGCAGTTCGGGCACCTTTAAGAAGCCGCATTCTTTGACCGGCAATATTTGTCTTTCTTTTTAAAATATTTACACACACCCCCTTTCGACGCCCCACTGATGAGACCCACACCTGCTTATCTTTGTGAGGGAGTCAGATTGCTCTTCCCAAATAAAGGGTTCAAATCTGGAGATAGTCTTGGCCCCAAGACTGTGTTCTCCCTTCAGAAATCTCCATCCCTATAAGCTCATAGTAACCATCCTTGTTAAATATCATCTGGATTGGTCTGCACTTCTTAGATCTCTTCCACCAATGGTTTACTGAATATTGAATTAACTGAAGGTGTGATTGATAATGACATAGTAAATCCTCTAACTCGTTCCACCCAATTCTGCACCTCAGTGTGACAATAACAACATGCTGGTACAAGCAGAGCAGGTTACTCAACATGACCTCCTCGTTAGGAACGGCCACTGCTGAGTACCTTTGTGGTTAATATTACCTTGACATAGCAAGTGGTTTGTGGTGTACAACAGACTCGACTTTACAGGTGATGTCATACAGTAGTTCAGAGTGTGAGCTGTGAGTCAGCGAGTTCCTAGTTCAAACCACACCTGACACAGGTGGAATTGTTTTGTACAGTACTTCCTTATGGCTTATAAAGTTATCTGTGGCTGCTAGCCATGATGGGGATGTTCTGCCTTTGTGGCTGGAGGCGGTTATGCTTTTGAATACCAGTTGCTGGAAACCACAGGAGGGGAGAGGACTTGGGTCATGCTTGAGGGTTTCCCGCAGGCATGTGGTTGGGCGTTTGAGAACTGGATGCTGGACTAGATGAGCCAATGGCCTGATCCAGCAGGCTCTTCTAATGTGTACTTATGTCTCTTTCTCGGAGCCTGCCGTTACTAACAGGCCCAGTTCCCACCTCTTCCAGATTTCCCATGGTTCTTCCTCTTTGTACTCACAACCTGTTCTCTCATTAGTTAGGTGGGAAACCCCACTACATCAGCTTCCCCCAACCTTAGAACTAGATCAGTGATGGCCCAACTTGGCCCTCCAGCTGTTTTGGGACTACAACTCCCATCATCCCCAGCTAACAGTGTTCAGGGATGATGGAAATGGTAGTCCCAAAACAGCTGGAGGGCCAAGTTGAACCATCACTGGACTAGATGCTTTGTATCACGACTCCCATCAAATCTAGCAAATTGACCAATGGCCAGGGATGATGGGAATCACAGTCCAACAATGTCTGGAGGCCACAAGGTTAGGAAAGGATGCATTACCTACACCTTTAACCCATACAAAACATGACACTACCAAAGTACAAATTGGAAATGGCTGATCACCAGGATCTGATTTGACAGTTTCTATACTGTTTCATTAGCATTGTCTCCAAGCGGCGTACAAGTAACTCAAGACAACAAACCCCCATCCTGAGAAAACAGTTAAAACTATAAGAATCAGCATTCTGTTGATGCCTACGGAAGATGTGGGGAGGAGAAACCTTTTAGGCTGCTGCCAAAATCTCAAGGGAGAAATCACCCTGGGTTAGTTCCCGAGTCAGATAAATATTCTAAGTAAGCATAACTGCATATAACTCAATTTGCTCTAGACCAGCCTTCCTCAACTTGGTTTTGGACTGCAACTCTCATTGGCCTCCGTTGGATCAGCCCAAAAGCCTACCTGCTCCAGCTTCCTGTTTTCCACAGCGGCCAATCAGATGCCTACGAGAAGCCCACAAGCAGGGTACATATTAAAGGACGAGAGCACTCTCCTGCTGTTGTTTCCCAGCAACTTGTATTTGGAGCCAATCTTTGAGGAAGCATATAGCCTCCCAGTAGCCACTGATGAACTTACGCTCCATGAATTTGTAGTAAATGTTATAGTGATTTGGAGAGCTGGTGTGGTGTAGTGGTTAGAGTGTTGGACTAGGACCTGGGATACCAGGGTTCAAATCCCTGCTCATCCATGAAATGTGTTGGGTGACCTTGGGCCAGTCACAGTCTCTCTCATGATATATTGTAGGCTTGCCGTGAGGATGAAATGAGGAGGAAGAGAACCATGTATGCCACCTTAAGCTCCTTGGAGGAAAGGTGGAATATAAGTGCAATGCATGAATAAAATAAATAAACAAATAATGCTAAAGTAGGACCATTTTAGTGGTTCAGGGACTGCACAGATTAGGCCTCGTATGAATAAACCGTTACACAGAGCCATTGCTTGTTTTAATGTCTATTTTCCAGCGAACGAATTCTGCATCCCATAACCCACACCTATTTTTAGTGCAATAACCCCAGTAGAAAATGATGGGGGGGCTGATGATGCATAACCTCCAGATTACGCAAGAGTGCAGGTGATTCATAATTCTTTTGAAACCAATATGCTACAATAAGTGGATTCGCTGCCTTTAAAAAGTCAAAATTTGTTTGGCCTTTAAAGCAACATCCTCCTTATAAAAAAGGGCACTGTTAAGAAGCACAATATGGTTAACAGAATTAGATGCTTAATTTCAGTGTAATCATGTAACAAAAATAGCTAATTACATCAACGTTAAATAACAGCCTGGCAAACATAGGTTTTCTAGAGACCCTCAGAAAATGTATGTATTCTTACGTGAAAAGGAGAGCCCTTTAGTCAAATCCTGCAGCAGAACAAGCATTATAGAATCAGTGAGATTTATTAAGTTTGACATTGTTGGCATGCTGATTTAAACTTTTGAAGCAATCATTCCATAATATACACCCTGTATAGCAGTTACCTACTCACCATCTGTGCTTCCAGCTTCACTGCTTGAGATGTAATTGCAGTATAAAATGGGAGGATAGTAACGCTGACAACAGTATTTAGAAACATGTCAGCTATCTTTGTATTGAAAGCATGTTTATCAGGCTCCAAATGTGTTAGCTTGGATATGTGATCTAGACAGAGGCCTCTGGTTATTGTTGTTTAGTCGTTTAGTCGTGTCCGACTCTTCATGACCCCATGGACCAGAGCATGCCAGGCACTCCTGTCTTCCACTGCCTCCCGCAGCTTGGTCAAAATACCTCTGATATGGTGCTGTATGTAGCCAATTGAGCATGGAAGCATCTTCTAAAGGTTAACTTACCTGTAAATAACGGCAGCTTCAAAGCATCTGGGGATCTCAGGGATCAAGAGAACTGATAGGCTGCACTAGATAGGAACTGGGGAGATGAGATTGCCGGTTATGCATTGCCAGAAAGGAAGTAATGCATCACCAAAAGAAAGATGACAAAAGAAGACATCAATATGCATAAAATGTACATATGGTAAGATCAGTGCTTACTGTAACAACTTCGTGGTGAGCACTGGCACCTATTTTTCTAGAAAAAAAACACTGGCTAAGATAGATAGATAGATAGATAGATAGATAGATAGATAGATAGGTGCACATTAAGAAATTGTGGGTTGTATTCAACTAAGTTATACTCCAGGCATCGGCAAACTCGGTCCTCCAGATGTTTTGGGACTACAGTTCTCATCATCCCTGACCACTGGTCCCGTTAGCTAGGGATGGTGGGAGTTGTAGTCCCAAAAACATCTGGAGGGCCAAGTTTGCCTATGCCTGTTATACTCAGAGTAGACCCCACTGGAATTAGATTATGTCCATTATTTTCAATGAGAGTACAGTGGAACCTCAGTTCCCGAACGCCTCGGTTGTTGTACGTTTCGGTTCTCAAACACTGAAAATCCAGAATGCTTCCATTTTCAGACATTTTTCAGAACCCAAACGTGCGATGCGACTTCCTTTTTTTTTAATAAGATATTTATTAAGGTTTTTTGAAATATTACAGTGAAAATGAAAAAGAAAAAAGAAAAATACAAAATAAAAACAGTTAAAAACACACATCTTTTCTATTACTTATTTTCCTTTAGCTTGCTTCCCGGACCTCCTCGTACCTCCCTTTTTGTATTCCACTTCAATTTATTGGTTCAGCAAATCCTTACCATTAGATTTTAACCCATTTATAACCCTTTTTTCTCTTAGAACATTACAGCTGGAAACCGCTTAATTACTATCCAACATCATTCTATCATTCATTAATTTTACAATATTTCTGTAAATAGTCTTTAAATTTCTTCCAATCTTCTTCCACCGACTCTTCTCCCTGGTCTCGGATTCTGCCAGTCATTTCTGCCAATTCCATATAGTCCATCACCTTCATCTGCCATTCTTCCAAAGTGGGTAGATCTTGTGTCTTCCAATACTTTGCAATGAGTATTCTTGCTGCTGTTGTAGCATACATAAAAAAGTTCTGTCCTTCTTTGGCACCAATTGGCCGACAATGCCCAGAAGAAAGGCCTCTGGTTTCTTCAAGAAGGTATATTTAAATACCTTTTTCAGTTCATTATATATCATTTCCCAGAAAGCCTTAATCCTTGGGCACGTCCACCAAAGGTGAAAGAATGTACCTTCAGTTTCTTTACATTTCCAGCATTTATTGTCGGGCAAATGATAGATTTTTGCAAGCTTGACTGGGGTCATGTACCACCTGTATATCATTTTCATAATATTCTCTCTTAGGGCATTACATGCCGTAAACTTCATACCTGTGGTCCATAACTGTTCCCAGTCAGCAAACATAATATTATGTCCAACATCTTGTGCCCATTTAATCATAACA